TGCTTTGAGCATTGGGACTTGTTTGTCCGCTGACTGAAAATGTTGACCTTTTGTGCTTGAATTGGTTCCATTTATGACTCAATCCTTTGTCTCATTTTTATATTCCAAAAAACGTATCCTTCTTGCATGACGTTTGTTTTCAATGTAAGCATTATAAAATTTCAAATTGAACTTCGAGAAAGAATAAAATGTATTGTAAACTTTTTCACTTTTCATTGAGTCAGCAGACAACAAAAACAGCTCATCTCTTATACATGAAAACTTTTTCATTTTAGAAGATATGAGAGAGTTGAACTGTTGAGCCAAATTTCGAGAGTATGCTGACTAGATACAAATATAATATGCATATATATATATAAACACTTATTTAGATTTCTAGGCATGTCACTGTTACACTAATATACATCGTATGTAGACAAATAATCTACGCGTTGACGTCAGGCAAATGGCAGTTTATTACAAAATGTTTTTTGAGAGATGAATAAATGGTGAGTGCATACTTGAAGACATCACATTTTTGCAATTCAATAGACACATTGAAATTGATATGGTCATACAGTGAGTGTAATCAATATTCTATCGGCAATTAGCTTTGACAGTATTGAGGAAAGATACGGTAGTAAGAATAGAGATCAAAGAGAAATCTAATTTAAGCCCTTCAGAAATCATATATTTTAAATGATTTGTAATACGTCATTAAAACGTTGAACTGAATTATCCCTGATTTAAATTAAATTAAATGAAAAAGCTAAAAGTAATAGAATTGTTTTAATTTGTTGTGATATAAACGATCAGTAATGAGCATTGACAACTAACAACCAAACTTTTGTACGATTTAGAAAACAAGTGACAATGAAACGAAGGTGTGTCGAGGCATCGCTTATGGTCGATTAGCTTACATCAATCAGAATCCCAATAGACAAGATAAATAAGGTTTCCTTGCGAACAACTATTAGTGATGCCTCTCAAATGACTGCAATTCAATAACTTAGATTAGACTACCGTCTAGTTGCAATTTATCTCTCATATTCTAAGTGGATCGGTTAAAGATCATGCTGATATACAGCTAGTTAACTACAAAAGGTGCATTTCAGTGCGATCATATGCTGTTGTTGTTTTCATAATTGTAGATCATGAAAATGATACATGTCTTGACAATGCTCAAAATCCAGTTGTAGGTTCAATTATTATTATTGTTTTTTTTTTTGTTGTCGTTGTTGTTGTTCTAAAATAATACAGTCAAATAGTGTGCGATGAAATTAACCAAATACTCATTCCTGTAGGATGACCTATTTCAGTCTTAATATTATCAGCTAGGATTTTATTTTTATGTCATTATCAAACATCGTAAATTTGTTGTCGTTTTATCATTATTTTTTAATCGAGAAAACTCAGTTTGTACATTTCAACAACGATGGATATCAGTGTAGCAGTATTCGGTAGCAAATATCATGCGACCGACCACAATATATATTATTAAATTAGTACTTATAACATCAACTAGCGACTTGCAGTGTTTATCGATTGTTCTTAGTGCGAAGACAAAAACTGTATCAGTTTACATTTAAAACTGTCTTCTACTTAAAGTTGCATTTGCCTTAGTATGTTACTATTGCCAATTCTTGATGAAAGCGTTTTCGCGAGAATATGAAAAGGAGAATGACCGATGGAATTCTGTTTTCACTGTGAACCAGACAACATGATATTTGTTTCGGTGCAGCGACAAATCAACGTAAATATCATGCTTCTGTAGGAGAACAATACCAGCTGCAACAGATCAATGGTGAAATCTATCATTGAATACAGCCAGTACTGAGTTATGCGCTTTTGAAACTCTTGAAAAATATCTCTACTTCATGTCTTTTAAATACGCTTCTTATGCAAATGTCATTGAGCACGAAATCTCGATCTGGTGTTGTGAGTTGATCGTTTGCAAATATAGGAAATGAAATTGGTAGCATTTTAAGATAATATTATGATTTCGGAAAGGAGTACTGCAGTACGTGTCACTGTTTGTGTCCCTAGACGAAAGATCATCTAAATGATAAAATCTATTCCTAGAGAATGCTTCTGGATTGAAGAGATTGTCGAATACAGTTTGATTTATTATTCACTTATATCCAATGCCACCTGGAACTCGTCCGGAACTACGGTGACGTACCACAGAACTGTCAGTGAAAGCCAATCCTCCAGCAAAACCAGAAGTCTTGAGTTCCAATAGGCTACTGAAAACAGTCGTGGATCCTGCAGGACCGGACAAAATTCCTCCGGACGCACTAGAATCTGGTCGAAAGTGTTCAAGGGACTTCCTCGCGTCACTATTGCACAAAGTTTGAGAGTGCGTCTTAATTGTCAAACTACCAAAGAACGGCGACTTTCACCTTTTCAGTAACTGACACCGAATCAATCTCTTGTTCACTTCAAGCTAAATTTTAAGTCATGTCATCCTGGAGAGACTGAAAGATACTCTCGACGCCAAACACCCTTGTCCACAGGAAAACTGGATTCGGGAAGAGCAGATCGTGGCAACGTTACACATCATCATAGAACAAAGCGTAGAATGGCATTCAAATTTCTACATGCGATTCATTAACACTGAATAGACCTTCGACATCCTTGACAATAATGTGATCCGACACTGTCGAGTGCAATACTCCAGCCCTTTGTAAATCTAATTCAGCAGTTATATGATGATGCCACGAGAAGCTGGGCGTGGGCTGGTGTTAACATGGAGGAGGTCGTGTGAGGAGAAGATGGTCTGTGAGCAATTGTGGAGCTGGCTAAGGAGGACTGTGTAGGACAGGGTGAAATGGTGATTTGCTGTTAAATCCCTATATCCCATTCGGAATCCAAAGGGATAATAATAACATCCAATCTCACCGGAACATAACTGAATACTCTGCAATTACTGTCACTTATCAAGATCACAGTCTCAGTATGACAAATGATAATTGAAGACTTCAGTGTTGAGCAACAACCATCCAATTATCCAATAGTATATAACAGAATCCAGATGTATTCTTCCGGTGAGCCGCAGAATTGCGAAATCTAAGGGAGGCAGAATTTTCAAAAGACATAAAATGTTTCATGGGTTTGTCTAGCGACAGTTTATTTGGTGACTCGTGATTTGGATGAAACAGAGCTGTGGGGTTTTGGCAATGAATGCACGGCTTCTGGTACACTTAAACCACAACCAATAGAATAATACAGCTTACTATATGTCATGCATATTTTAAGCCTTCTGTCATTTCCACTTTGAGCAAGGCGGATCGTTAAATAAGGTTAAGCACTACTTTTCTGTCTGATTCATGAGAGTAGTTTCTTCACCTTCTGATGACTTCTTGTCGTATCCGTTGTGCTTGACGAATCCTAGTTATGAGAGAAGGAAGTGTTATTTGTATACTAGTGGTGCATGATGTGGGTGTGTGCAGAATAGGCGAGTGAATGAGAGACAGGTACGGTGGATTAACATAATGATAGGTAGAAAATGAGAAGTGAAGTATCCAAGAGTGCAGATATCATATGTGTTTTCATCATTGACCGACTAGCCTGATGATAGTATCCCAAAATCCGATTTCACAAATGAGGTTGATATAACATACTGAAGTATTCCATTCAATTTTGTAGCTATACAATGATCATTCACGAATTTTCCTCCATTTTGAAGAAAATGTTGTCGATCACTTAAGCCTAAATTTTGCATTATGGATGCGGGATTTATATGGAACAGATTAATACTACTTCTTTAAAATTACCTTGCTTTAAAGTTTTATTTCAAAACGTATTGATTTATTCCGAAGTTTCAACGTTTTAGGGGAAATCAAAGTCTTCAGTGGTAAGTTATTTTGATTAATATCACATTACAAACAGCTTTTCTTGTGAACACATCAGATGTATTGGTTGCTGGTATTTCACTCAAGTAACGTTTCCCAGTAACAGTGCAGAATTTATCAAATGACAGTTAACTGGCTATTGTGCTGAGCGACACTATTTAGTTCTGATTATCAGCAAATCGAATGAGATGAAGAGCTTTTGTGTTTTTCACAAGATTTCATTTTAATTGACTTAAAGTAAGATCGAGTTAAGAATCGATATCAGTAGTAGTACCGTAAAGCTGCATTTGCTTCGTCTTCGCCCCAAACGCCAAGAGCAATCAGCGCGATAGTGTGAACGAGCAGATATTCATCCACTGAGATAAATACCAAAAGTTTGTTTCCATCCAACTTCATATGTGATAGAGTATTATAAACGGTCAGAATTTGTATATCATAAGTGATTGAATAAGCAGTTAAAATTGACTCTTAGTTTGTTTAATGCGGACACAGAAGTTTTTGATTTTCAAATCGCATCGATGTAACTGTGTGTTATAGAAATTATTTTGCTGGACAATTTCGGGCTTCATAAAGCTAATTAGCAGTTATTTCGTCACTTACCAAGAGAGTGTATGCGATCATAATATTGCTCTTCATGTATTTCTCTTAAATAAAAAAGTTTCACCAGTCGCAGGCCAGTCTTTTTCTTCTGCAATTTCGCTGTTTAGTGAAGTAGAAGTTACGAGGGAAGAACAGTTGTACATTTCACCCAATCAAGGCGCCTGTATGCATGTGCTCAACTCTCTCAGACACGTCTTATAACGTTCGCTGTTCCTGAGTTTCGTAACAAAGCAGCCAACTACTGCATTCTTGCTTTAAATGGTCACTCAAGTTATTGCCGAATAATGACAAATCTTGCTTTGAAATGAAACGGAAGTTGAGTGTATCACCCTAGTTTTAATTGCTATATCAAATGGTCGTATGTGTTTGTACAGAATTCAGCTGAGCAATGACATGTTATCAGACATTTCTTTAACAGATATGAGGAGTTTTCATTTGTTCATGTTGTACAAACATTATTCTCAAACGTCATAATCGTGCAGGATCGGTCGATAGCGATTTTCTTAACATGTGAAAAATGTCAATTTATCAATGATTATAAAATTTGTTAATTTTTTCTCTCTTCAGTCATTGTCACTGCGAGAAAGTGAGCGTGTCAATATTACCATTCCTATGACTAGTTATATTGCTTTCAATAAATTTCATTCAAATCTGTTGTCAGAATGTGATATATTTGTGATAATTTTTCGTATATCCTGTGCCAAAACTCAACTTGTAAAATACTAGGATATATGCGGTCATGAGCTTCCATTGTTTATGAAGTCAGACTTCTTTTGCGATAGGTGATGAATTCGGCTGTAAGTCACCACTGCAGATATGAATTAGAAGAACACTGTTAACAAATGCGTTTTGGTTGATCTCTGATGAGTGGTGGTTGGTATCATTTGACGTGTTAACGTGTAATGGTTTTCTTTTTTTCTTAATGCCACGTATAGCTTTGTCAGTACATCTCTACTGTATCCTGTTGTCTGCACTCCTCATTAGCTGGTTCGATGATCGCCCATAAGCTCTGAACTCCTTCTTAGACTACCTTTGCCACGTCACAGTCGGACGCCCAACTCCTCGTCCCTCATCGGTTCTGCACTCTAGGACCTGGCGTTCGTTGTCCCGGAAACGTCTCCTCATTGTGTCCGACACATCTCCCTTGACTTCTGTATATTTTGTGGTCAGTATGTTTTGGGCCCCTTCATTCCCATAGCTTCTTGTTGCTGATTGTTTCTGGTCATCTGATCTTCAGCATCGAGCGAAGGCAGCAGTTGATAAAGGTTTGCAAACTGTTGGAAGTGCTTTCGGTGACGCGCCAAGTTTCTAGCCCATGTAGAAGAACTAACTTATTATTGCAGTTTAAAATCCCAATTTTCATTTCTTGTGCTGAGCGCAGCCGATTTTCAAGCTTATATTGGAGTGATGAATGTCTGTCTTGCCTTTCTGATTATCGTTTTAATATCTTCATCCATCCCTCCGCCTGTAGTTGAAAGGATTCTGCCTAGATAAGTGAAGAAATTGACCTCTTTCCAACTTCTTTTGTTGATAGTAATTGATACCTGTTGATGCTGCCTGTTGGCTATCTTCATCATCTCCGTCTTCTCTATGTTCACTTGAAGTGCTGTCTTTGCTGCTTTTTCGGTCAACATGTTGGTTTTCGTTTGTGGGTCTTCGAGGTTGTGTAACATGAGACAAATAGTCTGCAAAATCGGGAACTTGTAGAGTCTTCAGCGTAGAGGTCCAGTGTATTCCCATCTTTTCGCCCCCAACAGTCTGACACACAGATAGTCCAACACAATATCATCGTTGGTGATAGTAGGCAGCCTTGTCATATACCTGTCTTCACTTCAACGGCTTCTCTGACGTTTCCGTTGTGGATCACTTGACATGTGGCATTGTCATATAATTTTCGAATCAGTTTGATGAAGATTTTTGACACAGTACAGTGTTGGAGTGTACGTTGGTGCTTCAGCGGTAGAATGCTCGCCAACCATCCATGTGGTCCGGAGTTCGATCCCTGGCCGACTAACTCCTAATCTTCACTAAGATAGTACTAAGCCTGAGGAACAGGTAAGGTCGGGCGTGATGCTAGTCATTTCACACTGTAAAATTAAAACCACTGCTATGGAAACTTAAAAGCTGTAGCTCGAAACCCTATGTTCCACTCAGGACATAGAGGAAGAAAATAAAATAATCACAAAATATGTAATAGTTTTGAAGTAGTTTCCAAATTGTTTCGCGCTATCTGAGGCCCCTTCAAAGTCGATTAAATTAGGATGGAGAGTTGACTGCCATCCTATGCTTCGTTCGATGATGATGCGTATGGTTGCAATTTGATCCTCACATGACTTACTTCTCCTGAATCCTGCTTGTTGCAGTCGGCATTCTTTATTCAGTGCATCTTTTACCCTCTTCAGGATGAGGCGACTTAGCGTCTTACTTGGTATGGAAAAGGTTGTGATTTCGCGCCAGTTCTTGCAGAGGCCTAAGTTACCCTTCCTTGGTAGTTTAACAAGGTAATCTTTCCCCCAATCAGTAGATACGTTTCCTCTCTCTCAAATGTTTTGCAATCGTGGTGTCAGCATATCTGTTGCGGTCTCTGTGTCTGTTTTCAGTGCTTCACAAAGGATTCTGTCTGGTTGTTCTGCTTATCTGACTGACTTTGAGTAACTTTATTTTATTCAATTCTTCTGCTTTTGTTGAAGGATTAGTGTCCACTAGCAGTTCTGTGGCCGGAGTTGGTGATGACGGTTGATTCAAGAGTCCTTTGAAGTGATCAGCTCATTGTTTTATTTGTCTCTCTTCGCTGGCAATTAGGTCCCCTTGACCATCTTTTATAGGTTTCAAATGTGTTGTTCTTTTCCCTAATAGAGACCTAGTTATCTGGTATAATTTTCTGAGGTCTCTTTTACCTGTGGCCTGTCTGTTCTGCTTCAGTTGGCAGAGTGTCGTCGAACTATGTTTTGTCTGTCCTAGCCCTCTTTTTCACTTCTTTATTCAGTGCGACGTACACCGAACTCAGCTTCTCCTTCTTCTTCTGTTGTCCATCTTTGCATTGAGTCATCTTCTGTTTCACCATTCTCCTCTCCTCTCTTCTATTAGCTTCTATATAGGTGTTCTTGGAGAGCCGTTCCTTGTCTTGTCTCTTTTGACTTCCTGAAACGGTTGTACACGTTCTCATCCACATAACTTTCTGAGGGTTCCAATGTTCTTCCACACAGATTCCCATACTGGTGCTACGTAGTGTCTCCGACTTCTCTGTGGTAGCTGAAGTGAAGGTGCCTTTTGTAGTTGCGTCTTTCAGTTTCTGAGTGTAGAACTTAAGTTGTGGTCAGTCTCCAGTTGTTCTGAAGACTTTCAGCCTGACATTGAAGGATCCTTGGACTAGACAGTGGTCTGAGCCCACGTCTGTTCCTCTTCTCGACTTCGTATCTAGCAGACTGCGCCTTTGCATTCGTCGGATTGGCATGAAGTCTCTCTGGTTTTTAGTGTCCGCGTCAGGTGAAATCCATGTCACCTTGTGTATATCCTTGGGTTTTCACACATTACCTGCAGTCACCAAATCACTGAAGGCGCAGAAGTCTGCAAAGAGTTCTCCATTATCATTCATTTCTCAGAGGGCCTTCCGACTCATGATGAATTCTCCTCCCGTATTGTCTGCTCCCAGTTCTCCTGGCATTCGTATCGTCCATCAGGGTTCCGGTGTCACCATTCAGGATCTTATCTATCAGTGTTTTCAGTTATCCATAGAATTCGTCCCTCTTCTCTTGATCTGCATTGTTTTTAGGAGCATATCATCGGATAATTGTAACCTTCCTACTTTTCTTCTCTTTGAGTTAAATCTAGCTATCATAATCCTGGGGAAGATTGTTTCCCACCGCATGAGAGCTTTGACTGCTGATGGTGACATCAAGATAGTCTTTAAAAAACTAGTGAGGCCAGTAAGTTAGGCAGAGCTATCATACAATGTATCAAATTGAAATTACCTGCATTTTGGAACAGAAATCAACTACCATGGTAGGCGAATTTGAAAATATGCCGTTGAAGCCCTCTGTTTCACTCGGAACTCATGGGAATAACAATGCGATTAATCCATGCAAATTACGAAAGTTTATGTGTTGAACAAATTAAGCCATTGATGATGATGCTACCACGTCTTCATCAAAATTTAGAAGCAATAACATTAAGGAGTGAGAGGAAGATTGCAATGGAAAGGACTTCTTCTGATAGGAGGCAAACATAACTTCGATCCACAAAGTCTGCGGCTGTTAGTTTTAGCTTCGTGGGGAACTGGCGTTCTGGGAATCAATGGTTGCAGGCTGTTGGTGACAACGCTTAAACTAGCGTGGATGGTTGTACTACTTTCTCTCCTCTTCGCATCACAGGTCTCCTGACTGTTGTTCATTGTTATTACTCTTTCTGCAGTACATTTTCCTTTATTGCAGTTTCATTGTATTTTTTACCTTAATATTCAAGGTGCTTTTAGGGTGTATGGCTATTTCAGCAGCTGCACTTTTTCACAACCTTCTACTTTGGTAATTCATTTCACTTCATGTTCATTTCAGGCATAGTTTATTTTAAATATATATTTTCAAAATCCAGATAAACTGAGTCACCGTATTTCTGCCTTACTTCCCCCGGCTTGAATGCGTAAATTGACAAGCAACAGTTACCTGCCGAACTTCGACCACTGCTTTGAGTATTGGGACTCGTTTGTCCGCTGACTGAAAATGTTGACCTTTTGTGCTTGAATTGGTTCCACTTATGACTCAATCCTTTGTCTCATTTTTATGTTCCAAAAAACGTATCCTTCTTGCATGACGTTTGTTTTCAATGTAAGCATTATAAAATTTCAAATTGAACTTCGAGAAAGAATAAAATGTATTGTAAACTTCTTCACTTTTCATTGAGTCAGCAGACAACAAAAACAGCTCATCTCTTATACATGAAAACTTTTTCATTTTAGAAGATATGAGAGAGTTGAACTGTTGAGCCAAATTTCGAGAGTATGCTGACTAGATACAAATATAATATGCATGTATATATATACACACTTATTTAGATTTCTAGGCATGTCACTGTTACACTAATATACATCGTATGTAGACAAATAATCTACGCGTTGACGTCAGGCAAATGGCAGTTTATTACAAAATGTTTTTTGAGAGATGAATAAATGGTGAGTGCATACTTGAAGACATCACATTTTTGCAATTCAATAGACACATTGAAATTGATATGGTCATACAGTGAGTGTAATCAATATTCTATCGGCAATTAGCTTTGACAGTATTGAGGAAAGATACGGTAGTAAGAATAGAGATCAAAGAGAAATCTAATTTAAGCCCTTCAGAAATCATATATTTCAAATGATTTGTAATACGTCATTAAAACGTTGAACTGAATTATCCCTGATTTAAATTAAATTAAATGAAAAAGCTAAAAGTAATAGAATTGTTTTAATTTGTTGTGATATAAACGATCAGTAATGAGCATTGACAACTAACAACCAAACTTTTGTACGATTTAGAAAACAAGTGACAATGAAACGAAGGTGTGTCGAGGCATCGCTTATGGTCGATTAGCTTACATCAATCAGAATCCCAATAGACAAGATAAATAAGGTTTCCTTGCGAACAACTATTAGTGATGCCTCTCAAATGACTGCAATTCAATAACTTAGATTAGACTACCGTCTAGTTGCAATTTATCTCTCATATTCTAAGTGGATCGGTTAAAGATCATGCTGATATACAGCTAGTTAACTACAAAAGGTGCATTTCAGTGCGATCATATGCTGTTGTTGTTTTCATAATTGTAGATCATGAAAATGATACATGTCTTGACAATGCTCAAAATCCAGTTGTAGGTTCAATTATTATTATTGTTTTTTTTTGTTTACGTTGTTGTTGTTCTAAAATAATACAGTCAAATAGTGTGCGATGAAATTAACCAAATACTCATTCCTGTAGGATGACCTATTTCAGTCTTAATATTATCAGCTAGGATTTTATTTTTATGTCATTATCAAACATCGTAAATTTGTTGTCGTTTTATCATTATTTTTTAATCGAGTAAACTCAGTTTGTACATTTCAACAACGATGGATATCAGTGTAGCAGTATTCGGTAGCAAATATCATGCGACCGACCACAATATATATTATTAAATTAGTACTTATAACATCAACTAGCGACTTGCAGTGTTTATCGATTGTTCTTAGTGCGAAGACAAAAACTGTATCAGTTTACATTTAAAACTGTCTTCTACTTAAAGTTGCATTTGCCTTAGTATGTTACTATTGCCAATTCTTGATGAAAGCGTTTTCGCGAGAATATGAAAAGGAGAATGACCGATGGAATTCTGTTTTCACTGTGAACCAGACAACATGATATTTGTTTCGGTGCAGCGACAAATCAACGTAAATATCATGCTTCTGTAGGAGAACAATACCAGCTGCAACAGATCAATGGTGAAATCTATCATTGAATACAGCCAGTACTGAGTTATGCGCTTTTGAAACTCTTGAAAAATATCTCTACTTCATGTCTTTTAAATACGCTTCTTATGCAAATGTCATTGAGCACGAAATCTCGATCTGGTGTTGTGAGTTGATCGTTTGCAAATATAGGAAATGAAATTGGTAGCATTTTAAGATAATATTATGATTTCGGAAAGGAGTACTGCAGTACGTGTCACTGTTTGTGTCCCTAGACGAAAGATCATCTAAATGATAAAATCTATTCCTAGAGAATGCTTCTGGATTGAAGAGATTGTCGAATACAGTTTGATTTATTATTCACTTATATCCAATGCCACCTGGAACTCGTCCGGAACTACGGTGACGTACCACAGAACTGTCAGTGAAAGCCAATCCTCCAGCAAAACCAGAAGTCTTGAGTTCCAATAGGCTACTGAAAACAGTCGTGGATCCTGCAGGACCGGACAAAATTCCTCCGAACGCACTAGAATCTGGTCGAAAGTGTTCAAGGGACTTCCTCGCGTCACTATTGCACAAAGTTTGAGAGTGCGTCTTAATTGTCAAACTACCAAAGAACGGCGACTTTCACCTTTTCAGTAACTGACACCGAATCAATCTCTTGTTCACTTCAAGCTAAATTTTACGTCCTGTCATCCTGGAGAGACTGAAAGATACTCTCGACGCCAAACACCCTTGTCCACAGGAAAACTGGATTCGGGAAGAGCAGATCGTGGCAACGTTACACATCATCATAGAACAAAGCGTAGAATGGCATTCAAATTTCTACATGCGATTCATTAACACTGAATAGACCTTCGACATCCTTGACAATAATGTGATCCGACACTGTCGAGTGCAATACTCCAGCCCTTTGTAAATCTAATTCAGCAGTTATATGATGATGCCACGAGAAGCTGGGCGTGGGCTGGTGTTAACATGGAGGAGGTCGTGTGAGGAGAAGATGGTCTGTGAGCAATTGTGGAGCTGGCTAAGGAGGACTGTGTAGGACAGGGTGAAATGGTGATTTGCTGTTAAATCCCTATATCCCATTCGGAATCCAAAGGGATAATAATAACATCCAATCTCACCGGAACATAACTGAATACTCTGCAATTACTGTCACTTGTCAAGATCACAGTCTCGGTATGATAAATGATAGTTGGAGACTTCAGTGTTGAGCAACAACCATCCAATTATCCAATAGTATATAACAGAATCCAGATGTATTCTTCCGGTGAGCCGCAGAATTGCGAAATCTAAGGGAGGCAGAATTTTCAAAAGACATAAAATGTTTCATGGGTTTTTCTAGCGACAGTTTATTTGGTGACTCGTGATTTGGATGAAACAGAGCTGTGGGGTTTTGGCAATGAATGCACGGCTTCTGGTACACTGAAACCACAACCAATAGAATAATACAGCTTACTATATGTCATGCATATTTTAAGCCTTCTGTCATTTCCACTTTGAGCAAGGCGGATCGTTAAATAAGGTTAAGCACTACTTTTCTGTCTGATTCATGAGAGTAGTTTCTTCACCTTCTGATGACTTCTTGTCGTATCCGTTGTGCTTGACGAATCCTAGTTATGAGAGAAGGAAGTGTTATTTGTATACTAGTGGTGCATGATGTGGGTGTGTGCAGAATAGGCGAGTGAATGAGAGACAGGTACGGTGGATTAACATAATGATAGGTAGAAAATGAGAAGTGAAGTATCCAAGAGTGCAGATATCATATGTGTTCGATTACCGACTTGCAATTATGATAATATTTTCTTACTAATCTTAAATATCTTCAGTGAATCTTTTGTTTGTGATATTTTATCTCATTCCGGATATATCTTTTTTTTGATTGTTTTGCTACGGTTTGTGGCCGTATCTTTTCTCAATTTTTGGGGGATTTTACGTTTCGGGAAGAATGTAACTTCGTGAAGGGGAACTAGGTCTATCGAATTTTAGGATCAATTTTTTTTATTTGCTTGTCTGGTTATTTTTTTACTTAATTTTGATCTGATTGCATTCGCTTTGTTTAATACCTGCACGTTTTTGTTATTGATGAGTTTTATTGTTTAAGGCTTTATGTAGCAGAACATTTAGTTAGTTTTTTGAAGGAGTTGATAACCATGAATTTTTGCAATATTTAAATATCATTCTGATGAAATGCGTAAAGGATTCGCGCATATTAATTTATCCACATTACTCATACTACTTTTTTCTTTACAGATAGTATGTTGGAATCGACGGATGTTAACTTTCTGCTTCAAAATTTTTTCCAAATATATAACTGATTCAAGTTTCTAAGTACATAATTTCTTAACTTTCTCAAAGCCTAAGTAATGGGAACAAACAGTTTCAGTTCATATTTTAGTGATGTTACATACTTGTTCAATTACTTTGTTGTGCTTGAATTTCTGATTTTGTTTTCAATTAGATATCTGAACAAATTACTCGCATAATGAAAAAACGAAGACGAAAACGTAGATTTTTACACCGTGAGCTATCTCAAAAGAAGTTTAAGAATAAATCACTGGAATCGCTTAAATCAAATCCCGAAGCTGTTAAAGAGATGAAAACCCTATCTCACAGTGCTTTTCAGTTGAATTTTCGTGTTCCATATCAACGTAGTGTATACTTAGGCAAGCAGATGATTCTTAGTAATTCAGAAGAGGTAAGAAAAGATGAGAAGGCCATTTGGATTTTATATTTCTTCTGTAAATATTAGTTACAATCAGTTAGATAAATATTTGTATGTACATAATTGGATATGCATTTTTATTAGAGTAATGGTATTCTGACTTGCCTAACTAATAATTTCGTGGTCTCTCGATTCCTTACTTCCGGCATATCGAATATGGACTGTCGCAAGTTCTGAGATTGGGAAAAGCTAATCACCTAGAGCTGTCCTGATTTTACTGGTTCTCAAGTCGGCGTATTTCGTAACTCAAGTTTTCTTGAAATAGTAAGAGAGCTTTCTTTTATTTTTCATATCCTGTATTTCAGAAGTTCTCAGTTAATTAATCGACCTATTTGTAAAAGAAGAAAGGAAAAATAATATTTATTATCAGTGGACGTACTCTAGGTCACTTATTCTGTGGTATCCTGTTTCCTCAAGTATTAAGGATATCATTTTGTTTTTCTTATGAAATCTGTACGTGAATCATTCAGTTAGTCATTTTAAATCTAATATTTTGATTATAATCTCCAATACATTTGCAAATGCCCAATCTTGAAGATGTGCACATATGACGACTTGTAGTAATATTCACTTTAACGGTGTGAATAGTTTCATAATGTGTAAATTCCAGGTCGTGAATACATTTTGGAATGAAAACAAATTTGAGCCTAGCGTAGATTTAATTTAACTTAGCAAAACTGTATTTTGTTAAGGTGAGGAACTAGTTAGCCACGCTAACCTATATTTAGTATCAGTTGTGGTTGTATGTGAGATTCAGCTACAAAGTCACATTAACAGATAAACTATTCTATGTAAGTCTTATACATTTCTTTATCTGAAAATAATAACGCCAAGATGTTTCCGTATATATTGCTAGAAATGAATTAAACACAATCAGTCCAATGATGAATCTGCACTAAAAGCTTGCAACCATGTATAGAAAAAAAGTTAAAATATGTGACAGTTCTTTTGCTCTGTATTTATGACAAACAAGAAGAAGGGGTTATTTTCAGTATACTTTTTTCACGAAAAGAAATATGCGATTCCAAGAATTGATTAATTAATTTCGACAAACCAATAAGAAGACGTAATTTGTCTGAATCGTGTAATGTATTTGCGCAACACATTTCGAACAATCTGATCACACACGGACTTGTCATAGGAACATATGTGAAATTAATAAAGAGGAAGGAGGTGAGAAAATAGATTTAGGTCAAGTTAAAAGGACATATTCAAGGTCAAAATCACAATGAAGACCACTAAACCAAATAGCAGAGGCAATAGTACATCCGCTATGGTATCAAAACAAAATTAACCAAGGAAGGTTTAATGTGATGATCGAAAATTTGCCACTTTATAAAAGGTATACAGATGATATTGTAATCATCAGTGGTAAATTTTGTTCTACCACCTCAATTTTAAATCGAATGAATGAAGTTCAGAATAGCATATCACTTACATCTGTCTTTAGAAGAGGAAGATAAGTGTTTATCTTTCCTAGACATATTGCTTAGTCGACGGCTTGATGGGTCAATAAAAGGATCTGTTTATAGAAAACCTACCTGGACAGGACAGTTTCTGCCCTGTTTGGTACAAAAGCGCCTTAGTAAGGTACCTCTTCAGTAGAATCCAACGAATATGCACTGAAGACACACTTGATGAAGAAGAAATAAAGTTGACACAAACTCTAGTTGATAACAATTATCCAGACAAGTTCATCAGAAAATATAAAGTAAAGACTGAAGGGACTTTTTATGCAGCTAATATCATAATAATATCAATAATAATATCATATCTGGTCCACGATGTGTGCGTGGGTTCGTATCCCACCTCCGACATACGCTTTTTGCGTCGGTGGCACAGCGGTTAGGACTCTCGCCGACCATGCACATGGTCCGGGGTTCGACGCCCTACCTGCGCACACCTGATATCTATGGTCAGCCTGCAAAATTTGGGCTACCGATATCACATGCTGAAAATTCCATACTGTGTGTGGTTTCAAGCTATAATCAAAATAAAAATAATTGAGAATGCGAAGCCAATCTATCCATCTAAGCACTCTGAACATGCGAAAAATGTTGTCACATCCCACTGTATTTACCAATTTGAGTGTACGTGTGGACACACATACATAGGGAGGACTCATCGATCTCTGCAGGTAAGGGCTGGTTTCAGAGTATATCCCTGAATGGCTCCAGAAGCAAACAGAATCCCCAGAACTGGAGGCCTAACTCCTCTATTGCGAAACATATTATAGAGATAGGACATAAAATTCACGTTAACAGATCTTTTAAACCTATCTGTAAAACGTGTTTGGGGCGTATCGTAAAGTCTATGGAAGCCCTAGCAATTAGGAAGTTTAAACCACCTTTATGCATTCAAAAACAATTCGTCATCACATTAAACCTTCCTTGGTTAATTTTGTTTTGATACCATAGCGGATGTACTATTGCCTCTGCTATTTGGTTTAGTGGTCTTCATTGTGATTTTGACCTTGAATATGTCCTTTTAACTTGACCTAAATCTATTTTCTCACCTCCTTCCTCTTTATTAATTTCACATATGTTCCTATGACAAGTCCGTGTGTGATCAGATTGTTCGAAATGTGTTGCGCAAATACATTACACGATTCAGACAAATTACGTCTTCTTATTGATTTATCTAAATTCAAAAAGGTAACTAATTGTTTTAAATTAATTTCGTTGATGGGTTTTTATTAAACTGTAAGCTCACTTAATTTTTAAATCAGTGTTGAAATTATTGTCTAGAGAGTCGATAAAAGCTTCGCTGCTGAAGCATCTAAATGAATCGTCTGTTTGACCTATAAATCTTGTTATTTATTTCAAAATAGTACTTGTGAGGGAGTTAATTTTGTCATTTTCAAGTTATACCCTTTCAGGTTAGGATTTACTGCTTTCTACAGAAACCCAAAATATTCACACCCCATTTAGCTTCAAAAAAAGGAAATGTTTTCAATACAGATCACCTTAGTAATAGAGAGTAATTTAGTTTTTTTGAACTTATTTAGCTTTCCGAGCTTAGCCTTAACCCGAAACATTACTGATAACCTCAGGACTATATGGTCTTATCGCCTGTGCGGTGTTCAGGTCACATAGTGGTGGCTGGCAACCTCAGTCGTCACCAACTTCTCATATAAGTCAGAATTATAATTCACTACACATAAAGTGTGTGGTGAATAATCTCAAGTAAAAAGTACATAATTTATTATATTAACTAAGCCTCAGACGGTTGAGTACTCCACCAAAAAAGAATTAAATTTGGATTGCAACCTTTCACTTTACTGCTAGTTTGATTGGAGTGAGGCATAACTTGTTATAAAGGATATCTTAAAAATAATAAGCCAGAGGCGCTTCCCTTTAAAATAGTTATTATTGCTGAAAAGTCAAGAATATCGCCTGATTTGCCGTCTTTTTTATATGTAGACTGGATTAAATAAATTTCAAAAAAAGAGTTTCGGCACCATCGACAGGTTCAATCAACCCGAAATAGATGTATCCATGGAATATGACGTACAAGATAATCAGCTTGCTGTGGCAATATGGGCGATACGTAACTTGTCAGAGGACAAACAAGAGATAGGTGTCCCGTGAGTTTTAAAACACATTTAGAATTTTTACATACATTTCTCTACTGAATAAGTTATGTCATCCAACCATCTTAGAATCTATGTATGAGTAATTTTTTCATCATTTCCCATACTCTCCTTAACTTGTTAAGATTTCGAATTTTATTGAGAACATTAAAAAGTTCACGAAATGTACAACATATAACAATATTCTTAAAAGCGTATGACTTTTTGAACTTCGTTTTACTTAACTCTGTTGATGAATTAAATATTTTGCAAAATATACAGAATATACTGCATTTTACTGCTATCAACTAAATAGAACAAAGCCTATAAATTCTAACAATTAAGATGAAGTTATTAATAAACATATTCAAATTAAGAAATGATTTAGGGCAAAAAATGATATAAAACCCCCCAAAACCCATAATTTGAATAATATATATGGGGAAGTTAAAGACATGTTAAATTGAATGGAGTGTAATCGTGGGTGAACTATTGAGAGAAAAATTAAAATCCAACAAAAAAGGAAAAATGTAACACAAGTAAATAGTAGTGAGGGTGAAGGAAGTGTTGCACATTTTATAAAACAGATTTAAGCTTAGTCAGTGATCATTACTGAATAAAAGACCAAGCTGTACCTTTAGAACTATGATAATTCCTGCAGAAGATGGTATTGTTACGATTATTCTATTAGATTTCGAGTAGAATATGGAGTTTCAGCAGCACATATCCATTTCATTTTGTTCGCCACAGTCCTATTTAGCTGGTTTCGCGATAGTCTATGAGCTCTCATCTCCTCCTCACGCAATCTACCCCAAATTCAGCAATTTTAGTTTTAAGTTCTGCCAGAGGGCCTACCTGGTGCGTGTTCTCACTCAATGGTCTCCTCAAAATTTGTACGATTCATCTCCATTTCCTCCGGCATACCTGTTTGGTTATTGGATCTTTGTTGGTTGGTTGCCAGAATGGAGATTATTTATTTTTTCATTATTATGAATGGAGTATCAATGTTCACTTTGTGTTTGGTATACATTTTCACAAATCTGGATATTTGTACCGTTTTTTACTTAACCAAATTGACTAAAATTTCCTGCAGTGAGATGAGTCTTTCATTTCCGGTTAAACTTCGCCCAGATTCCTCGTCAGTTATAGGTTAAAGCGTGCAGGAAATCTACTTTTTGCTTATCATGTCTCCAAAAATTTTATCTTTTCCTTCACGATTTCCTTATTTTTTCAGATTTTTAGTGTATTCCTGTCTATCTGGGTCTAGTTTTTCCACCTTCTTCAGACTAGAATGTCAGCTCGTGATGAAATCCTGTAACCAATCAACCAAATCCCTACAAACCAATACTTGAAAATTAGTTCACTTTATTCGATAAAAGAAACGTTTCTTACTTAATTTATGAATGTTTGTATTGCTTTTTACTTCACTGTTTTTAGTGGCATACTGTTTAGTTTTTAATGCTTACCGGACTATATCAGTTGTGTGGTCTGTAAGTCAGGAGGCTTTGCTTTCACACTACGCTTTCACTTGTACTCCATGTATATATAAGTTTGCGAATTATTAAAAACTGAGTGACGTATTTTTCCAGACTTCCTTCTCAACGTATTAGAAATGGCATCAGGTTTTTTGAAAACCCGTGTTTTATGTTGAACAACCTACCATTGAAACTTTGATCCATACTGTCCAACTGATTTAAATACTCGACACGGTCTATGATAGAGCTTAGTTCATTTACAATGGGTAAAATAATTATGTTTTCAGAAGGTAATAATATGACTATTTCACCACTGACTATATACCAAGCGAAATAACTACGAAGAAATTAAGAAAATCAGTTCAAAGAACTTTTAATGCTGGCGAACTACACGTATTATTCTCTACACGACCGATGGTGTTACCTTGACTGAAAGATGAAGTACCCAGACCAGCCACTTCAAATTGTATCTCTCAATTCAACTGCGCTTGCGGAGCGAGTTATATTGGCCGTTGCTCTAGGAACTTGATTTTTCGTGCTCGAGAACATATCCCACTATGGCTAAGTGAAGGTGTAGTTAAAAATATTAACAGCTCGATATTAGACCATCTGGTGCAAACCGGTCACAAAGCCAGCGTTGAAGAATCCTTCTCTATAATATACCGGGTGCCTAACATATTACCAAAATCGCCGAAGCACCACATTCTCCAAACAGCAGGGGCTATTGCGATTCGCCTCAAACAACCAGTGCTCTGTGTTCAAAAGAAACAAGTCCAGCCTCTACTACTGTCCTGGCCCTCAGCAGAAACTATAAACTCATGAATTTGTACTATTATCTTTCCTAATTCTCCTGACATTCAACTTATCTTATGTTGATGCTGTTCAGCTGTAATTTATCAATATTATTGATTTGATGTTATTTAAACATTAATGTCGTTCATAAGACTAATTCATTCATTCATTATAAGGTATATATAATTGTAGAACCTGATGATGAATTTATCGAAAAGAGTACTCTTTGTTCCGTGTCCATTCTTTTGAAAATTTTAATGGCTATTTTTAATCAGTTAAGATGGATATGACCAGCACTTACCAGTTATTAGAATATATCATATTTTTCATTGAAAAAGGCTATCTAGACTGGGTTTTCCAAAAACGAAAATTTATCTTTCGTGCCGAGTGAACTGTTACGGTTCACTTATCCAACAGGAAAGCTTTACAACAATTATATTCATTAGACTTTATGTTAGGCGAATTTAGGGCTCAGTTTTTTTCAATTTACCTCTTTTCACTTAATGTGTTAATTTTCAGTAATGATATTTGACAATAGACAGAACCTCTTTTCAATAACCCCAGCAACTACAGTAATAATTTTATGTAAGAAAAGGACGTTACTAAAGAAAGACCTTATTAAAACAACGTCCTAGATTGTGATTTAATTTTATTATACTTGAAGATCTGTGACCTTTTCTTTACGGAATCGTCTCTTCTTCGAAACAACCATACAACATCATATCAAAAGCATAGATTATATATACAGTGGGTGAATCTTTTCGTTATTTTTAACATATACTTCGACACAAACACTACGTATTTTATTTGAGTTTAGGTATCGAATTCACTCAGAGACACCAGATTTAAGTTGAACTGACTTTCTAGGGATTCCATTCTATCCCATGCAGGGCTTTCAGAACTTAGTGAGGCCGTCTTTTCAAGTAATGGTAAATAATGATATCCACCACTATAAATGCTGTGTCATCAGTCTCGCTAAATTTCACTACAGATGTGGCAATGCATATTATTCTCAGGGATTTCTAGACTCGCAACTGGAATTTCGTCGTGAGACAGTTTTGTTTACTTTGAGTGTGCAACAAACTTTGTCGATACAGGTGGTGATATCAGAGATTACTAGAGATAGAAGCACTAAAACACCTTAAAAGTAACAAAGAAATAGTAATCACTAAACCAGACATTTGAAATGCAGCAGTAATATTAGACAAATCAGACTATTTGGAAAAGGTGAATGCTCAAATACAAAGAGGAACATATAGAGAAATTAAGAAGTCAATAGACACCGTTATGAATAAGGTTAAGAAATCCACAGCGGACCATGCACGCCGAATGAAGCCGTGTCTAGGTGAGTCTAAATGGTTTGATTTAATGCCGAAAACTAACAATCCCAGTAGGATGTATGGTGTTGTTAAAGTTCATAAGTCAGGATACACTATCAGACATATAGTTGATTCTAGAAATTCACCTACTTATGAACTATCTAAATATTTAGCCATGGTATTAAATCTCCTTAAAAGCCAGTCGAAATCGATACTAACAAATTCTTATGAACTAAAACATGCATCAGTTAATTCAAAATTAGATAGTGAAGAAAAAGTGGTTAGTTTTGGCATTGTCAGTCTATATACATGTAAACCAATAAATATGGCTATAAAGGCAATCAGAAACGAACTCATCTCTGGCCAAGAACTTGAACTTAGAAGGAAAGTGGCACTGGAGGACATAGTTCTGGGAGTGCAGCCATGCCGGACTTCCACGGTATTTAAATTCAAAGGGAAAATATACAAACAAACTGCAGGAGTTGCCATGGGGTCACCAACATCCCTGATTGTGGTAGATATATTCATTGATCAGTGGGAAAACATAGCGATTGAAACGCTCACTCCCACCCCAAAAGTATGGTGGAGGTATGTAAATGACACATTCACCGTACTCAGAACTCAGTATATAAAGAGATTTTTCGAACACGTCAACTCAAAGTTGGAGGCAATTCAATTCACTTATGAATCGGAAAGTCAGGAAGGGGAGCTTCCAATGTTAGATTGTAGTGAAGAAAGGAGAGAAGATGCGAAGTTAAACACTAGTGTTCACAGGAAACCTACACATTCAAACCAAAATTCGGATTTCCGACCATCCCATTCTATGTCAGTAAAAATAGGATTGGTGAAATGTTTAAGTGATATGGCAGAAACACTAAGTGGTATCAAAGGAAATCTAAGACCAGAAGTCAAATATAAGGGAAGCTTTGAAACTTAATAATTGTCCTGATAAATTAATCAGGAAGTATGTAGGAAAATGTAAAAATAAAATAAACAGTAATAGTAGCGATAATCTTAATAATAATATTAATGACGACATGCATGTCAAACATGCACAGGATAATGACAACACCAGCAATAGGGAATATAAATCATCAATAGTACTTCCACACAAAGAGGAGACCTTACGGAGAATTCTTAGCAATGCAGGAATAAAGTGGCTGGCATTCAAACTCACAAACTCAATTAGAAACAAGCTTTGTTGGTTGAAGCATTCTAGCAGTAGGGTCGATAAAAAAACAATTTAGTTTATCTAATACCCTGCTGGAATGATTGTTAGGTCGAATACATAGGTCAAAGTAGTAGAACATGGGCATTCAGACTAGCATCGCATAAAAACCTAGCAAAATCCAGATTATTTGACCTTATTAAGATAGGGAATCTGGAGAATAGTTCAGCTATAGCACTACATGCAATTACACACAACCATACAATAGGATAGGATAAGATGGCAGTTTTAAAATCTAATATAACAGAGTGAGAGTGGGAAAGATTCATGACGGAAGCTTTATTTATCGATTCAACTGCAAACATATGTAAAAGTAATGATTCAACTCCTGTCCAACCGGACATCTGGAAAATTCCACTACCCCTGTGACAAGCAGGAAAGAACAAAGAAAACTCTAGATCCCAAGTTTAGAAGTTGTGTGATTATAACTGATATGATTATGAACAATACAGTGTTTGAAAAGTCGTCCAGTAAATAATACTGTTTCACTGTGTAATATATCTAATAGATTAATTAATATAGTAGTGAAGCTGCTGAGTATGTTAACTACTTCATTTATGGGTTTCTGTCAACTTTGGCATAAATGTTGTACTACCTTTCTTCAATGCAGGTCGTGTGTACAGCATAACTTACTATACGACAATTAGACGTGGTCATTGACAGTAAAGCTACAGAAACATGGGTTTTGATCCTAAATTTATTCAATCACCTACTCACATAGTATGTACGAATGAAATCAAGTGCACAATGACTGATATGCAACGTAATTCAATCAATCACATCATATATCTTTATCAAATGAAACATGTAGGATGCACATGTCACGTACCAATCCATCTTCTTGTTAAACTAGTAATTTTACCCAAGGCATGTTTTTATTTTGTCAAATCAAAATTAACTACCAATCATAGATTTACTGTCTCTTTGTCTGAACCACATCGAACGCTATGGGCTGCTTGACGTAGGCTCTACAGATGACTGGAATCAATAACTAAAGAGTCTTTGTAACGAGATTAAAAATAATTCGGACCAACTCAGATACAGATACTTGTCATCTTTCGGACTTTGTAGATTATTTCTATTCCAATTCGTTGACTCAAGACATTCTACTAGTTTTTGCTCATTTCATTATTATTTCTGTTTTCTTGCGTGATGACTGCTAAAATTCCTCAACTATCCAAATTTCTATTCAGTTTAATGCATAAACTCTTCTTCATTTCATACTTTTTTACTCATCCAACTACGTTTTTGAATCGCCTTATGAATTGGAGTACATTTTTAGTCTTCCATTATGGGTAAAAGTTTTTTTGGTAAAGTCTCATAGTGTTGCCCAGTAATACTTACTGATGACGTTTCGAGCATAATTTATTGCTCATAATCATATCAAGGTACTCACAGAACTTTCTAACTTCATTTATGTGATTCCATTATTTTCCATCGCTTGATTTGATTGGTAGTAGTATTTTCCATATTTCTGGTATGAGTGATGAGTCATTCCTATTGCATGTGTTGGGTGTAGACTCGATGAACAAGGATTCAGTAATCAACCTCCATCTACCTATATTACTTCTTAGAATTTTAACTCTCTTCCACCCTATTTTGCGGTTGTGTGCTAATGCATGCAGTGCAATTGCTGAGATTTTTTTCCAAATTACTTACCATTCTTAACTTAGCTTAATTCTTATGACTTCTACCAATCAAATCAAACGATGGAAAATAATGGACGTATATAAACGAAGGTAGAAAGTTCTGTGAGTACGTTGATATGACTATGAGAAATAAATTGTGCTCAAAGCGTATTATTACTGTGTAACACTATGAAACTTTATCAAAATGAATTTTACCCATAATGGAATTATACTCTACCACAGTGCACAAGTTTTACTCTTTTAACATTTTTAGTCTACTATCAAAGTAATGCAGAGCACTCCTCAAAGTAAATTAGAAAAATATATAGGAGAAGTTTGGATACTGCTTTAGATGAAACAACACAGTTTCACACGATGTAATGGCAAAAAATATTTTACATGAAAACCCTGTACGAGGAGTAGACATTTCGTAATTTAATATGCTGAAAATTCTGTACTAGTTGTCAACATATTGTCCCGAGTGAATCTATCATGATAATGTGAGCTTTTGCAATGTGTGACAACTTTTTGCTATTTCTTTCGTTAATCAATCATGAAGAATACTGATGTCAGATGTCCGTTAATTTTTTATGTGAAGAAACACACTAATATTTAGTTTCTGAATTAACATGCTTAAACTAAAAAGAATTATTTCGATAAAAAGTGGATAATTACCTTGATTAAAAGTAGTGCAATATGCAACATGTAAGGTGGTACAGGCGAATATTAATCACAATAATCGAATGTACAGCAGAAAACGATAATATAAAACCAAAATATTGGAAGATGAAGTGAAACACGGTTAAACGGAAAACTTTGTGTTTACAACAATTAAATAGTTTTCATTACTTTATTTCATGTTGGAACTAGTTCAGATTTCGAGCTACATCATTAATTAACCTTGATTTTGTCTATCATATTCTTTCGAACGCATATCATTCCACTATGTCAACAACACAGTCTAAATGAACTTGAATGTTGAAATTTGTGTTGATATTTGCGTCTTGAAGATGATTTGGCCAACAAATATTGTTATCTCAGTCTCATAAATTCATATCCATAGAATATAGCGTTCGACTGATAGCTGAACTAACCATCTTTAACATTAAGCACGTTCAAGATCCGTGTGTATGAAGACAGCAACTTACAAAGTTATATTTTGAATTGTGTGAAACTAATTCTGTCTTGTTACATAAGGTTTACTCAACAGAATATGAAGTATTTTGAAAAAAATATCAACATAAAAGTATTCAATGCATGGAACAGTGAAGTATATTATTTTTCAAATATTTCTTAGATATGCTACAGTCCACTTACTACCAGATGAAACTAAATACAATATAAAACTGTTAAATCCACAGAAATGGAATGAAGTCGATTCCGATTTTTGCAAGAGTGCGTGTTTTCCAGTAAATGTATATGATTTAAACAAAAAAATAATTTTTATTCACATATGGTGTAAAAAGGGCATTGTATCAAGGATGACACTAGGTCAAGTTGTTATACCGGTTGGAGAATACAATCTAGACTCAATGCAAAGACAGACATTCAGATTACTGAAAGAAGAGGTAAGTAGACCAAGGCGATCAAAACACCAATTTTATGTGATGTACTACAATCTCATACGCATAATTAAGATTTAACTGTGAAATGCTAAAAATATGAGATGGATATAATTATACGTATGACGAGTGATTAAGAAAATTGTATTTCCTAGATATTTTGAAATTACATATGGTTTGAAAAACAGTATGCATACAAATTCTTTATAAATCAAATTATTGAATATTTCTCAACATCAAATGTATCTGTGAACATCAGAAGACCTTCATTTATTCTTCGAAAAGTATAAATTTATAATATATGTATATATATATATATATAATAGAAAGTTAGAATTAAATTATAGTTGAACTTTTATGTCCTAGTAATAAAAACTCTTCATTGGTCTCATGACACACCTATAGTAGTCGTTCTGAAATTAGTCAGATTGATTTTTACACAATGTTTATCGTGTTTTACAAACTTTCACCTATTATTGTTTAGTTGAATAATACAATGTAAAATGAATATGAAATTAATTTAAGCTGATTCTAAAGGGTCAAAATGAAGCCCCGACTATTGGATTATCTATGGTCTCTAACGAACTACCAACAACGCGAATATTATAGACTATGTGGTTATACAAAGACGTCAAAGAAAAATATGATAAATTTATCCAGACTATCAAGTGTTGATTAATAATAAAGAAATGGAATTCTGTTTTGTATATTGATTTCGACTGAACTTCTGGTAAAGGATGAAGATATACAAGATCGTTAAGCTGAGACAGCATGAGACTTTTTATCAGCATTATTGTTTTGCGTCCGAATTCAGACAATAAATACAGTTAGTCACTGCCTCTTGCATAAATTAATTTATTTCAGTACCAAAGATGGATATTTAGTTAATGTAGATTTTCTACACACATGAAGTTATTATGGCACTGAAAAATGTTGAAATATTATGAGGGATACACTGTTTAAGTGAATTTACATTTTGCTTAACTATCCATTTTTTGGTATTTATTCACTAGTGATAATTTCTTCTTTATAGAATCACCTGTCATATTTATCAATGAGCCCACATTATAATGGTCAAATTATCGTTGCGCTTCGTTTTTCTATTTCTGAAAGTCAAAAATGTATGGTGCTAGTAACTGATGAAGCTATTGACCTATGCGGTACACTGGAAGTATGGATTAAAAAAGGAATAAATCTGTCGTCAAAATCGAGTAAAGAAATAACTTCTTATGTGACTGTGTAAGTATCCACTGAATAGGCAACTTCATTTGTTAAAAAAATTATTTTATTTTTATCATCAATATTAAAACGTTTTGCAGAAAAATAGGTTTGAAGTTTACTTAATTAAAGAAAACTCTGAATAAATATAACCTTATTTAAGGCTTTTGTGGCTACGCTTCATTTTGGAGAATATGTGCTATTCATATTATCTTTATTTGGGATGTGTACTCACTTTGACTTATAACTTTGTATTCAAATGTCAGTTTCCAGGGATCTGACTGATTTAGGATAAAACTATGAAATAACATCAGTTAGGGAAACAGGGAGTAGCTAATGACTGTTTCTCCCTGGTGTGCAACTCTTCAGTAGTAAGCAAGTATGGTTCTGTAAGGATTCGATTCCAGGTCCTTGAGTTCTCGAGGCGAGTCCGTAAATTATTCAACTACTGAAACGAATTCTTACAGCCTCTGAATTCTAACTTCTGCCATTTCGTGACAAACAGTGTCAAACTGAGCGGTGGTCCACCGAAATCACTGGGCTACCTAAATTTTCTATCCACCAAAATTCATCGCGTTTACTTCATTTCAGAAAGTTTTAATGATCTAATTATCACCATAAGTCACAATATTTACTCATGGCCTATTTCTTCAGATGATACATTATCCATTATTATATTATTTGAAGATTCTGAACAAGGAGTTATTACCTTGCAGTGAAACTCGTTGTAAATTCTGAGTTGTGTATAAACTCATTTTTCTGAATAAAGCTACTATTATTGTTAATATTATGGTCACATGTCTTCTCTCACACCCAACTTGATGGACCCTGTTGGTCACAACTTCTCATCAGAATTCCAGGCTATCCACCTTGTTTTCAGTCACTCGTTTTCAGTGACTTTCTAACTGATATCGTTTCGTTATTACACTCGTTTCTGTGTAGTCTTTTTATCGGGCTTCACGATAGCCCATAAGATTTCGGATACCTCTCAGACAGTCTCCCCATGTCACCCTTAGACACCTGATTAGCCGCTGCACATTCGGGGATACTTAAATGTCTTCTCAATGTATATCCAATTCATCTCCATTTCCTTCTACTTCTATTTGTTACTTATGTTTCTGGCTGTTTTGTTGTCAGAGTTGTTTGTTGTTTGTTCTTCCCACCCGACTGTCTGATCCTCAGCCCTAAGTGAATGTGGCTGTCGATGAAGGTCTACATTAGCCAATTAGTAAATATTTTTCAAAACACGCACGCAAAGTTTCTGAATCGTATAGGTGCACTCACTAACATGCCTTTAGTAGCAAAAATTTGGATCTTGTTTTTTATTCTGGGTTCTGTAGATCTCCACCCTGATTTCAGTGTAGTGAACGTCTCTCTTGCTTTCTTGATATTGCGATCAGAGGAATGCTGCATGATATGCTGAAATCCCTTTGAATAAGTGCCTTATTCATTGTGTGGGTCTTGAAAAACAGTAAAATTTAGAACTTTAATAGGTGCCTTATTTATTTTTAATACATTGGGACTGATGATGGTAGAACTAATCTGTATGAGAGCAACATGCCGTGGACATTGAGAAAATTATAAAACCATTCACTGATTTAAAAATCTCAAGACACTAAACTTGCATTGCTCGTTGAATTGTATCGCTTATAAAATTAATACCAGAGTTTCTACATTCTTCTTGCATTTCTTTGAGCATAAAAATTATTAACGTTTCTTCGACGTCGTTATTTGACATTCTTCTTGCAACTATATATATATATATATATACATATATGAAAGAATGTATCTGCTACTTCCTAAATGACTTGAAATATTATCCGTATCGATTGGCTGTATGTATTTATCATTGTGTTTAATTAAAATATACAAAAATTAGACAAAGACATTCTGTATAATCAAGATAACAATACACTTGTTCAATTGCATTACTCATCGTCCATTCATAAAATAGATATGCTTTATGTTCTGGAAATTAACTTGATTAGCTTCTACACAGCCTATAGCTAAAAGGCTGAATTCATTTACATGAAACTAACAATACATTATTAACTTTATTTGCTTACCAACATCATATGTTCGATACTTACTTTAGAAAGTGATTCATCAAATCTGTACAGTTATAATGCCCCATTAGAACAAATTTAATTATTAATAAAATTCTATAAATTGCCACTTTAAAATTTAGTGAAAAAGCATAAGTCATTCCATTAAAAAAATACTTAAACCTGAAATAAATATTTTTGATAATATGACCGTAATTCATCAGTCTACAAACTGAATGCAATTTCAACGGTTTAGCTTACTGAGTGCAAGGTTCTGTTGAATGTGTGAACCATCAGCTGTCTCTGCTTTTAAAAGTTGCATGTCATCCTTCAGCTAGTTCTGTTGTAAATCCCACACCCAATAACTGCCATAGTTACAGGCATTAAAGTTCCGTTCGGCAAGAACATATATTTCATTGAAGTAAATTTTATGTATGTTTGAATGCTGCTTACCGAATAAACTGGATAAATATCAGTTTGATAAATTAAAGTACAGAGTTTGAAGTCACTACAAGTATCGTATGCTTTCAGAACCACAAATAATTAGCATCTCTGTCAGAAAGTTTTTCCCTCCTTCTAGATTTACGTCTAAATTTTATTTGCAACATGAAATACTCCACGTTCATTAGTTTATACAATATGTACTATACTGTTTTTATTATATCTACTAAACTATGTTCTGAAAGTAAAAAAGTGAAATATACACGCCTGTTATGGCGTGTCAGAATATACTGCAATATCTCCCATAAAAGTAGTGACATATGCGTAATCCGATAACCTGCTGTTCAAAGAAACATGAAAAAGGTTGTTACTGACCATTACTTCATACCTAACAGTATAACATTCAACACATTTTTGAAAACTCTTTGAAAAACTGAAAATACCCAATCACTCATCCAGAAGATAAAAGATATTTCAGGAAATATTCTTTATCGAAGAAGTCATCTTCAGAGACTACAGAACCGTTTTGTATTTACTAAAACGTGTAAAGAACTGATGATAAAGCAGAATTTGTGCACTTTGGTAGAATGTAATTCCAGATTCTATTAGTTCATTTGATATAACACACTGCGATACAGGATTAGTCACTGGATACCATTCCCGGCACAATTTATTGCTCACAGTTATATCTGTGTATTCACATGACTTCCTGATTTGCATTTTATGTCCTCACTCCTTCCTCCTTTTTATTTCAATTTTCTATACATTTGCGAAACGTGAAGCTTCATTGTGACTGTACGTATTTGGTTTTGATTCGATTAACAAAGATTCTGTGATAAATCTCTCTATACGTCTAACTATACTACTTTTTAATACTTTTAATCCACATTACCCTTCTGCATGATTACATACAAAGGAATGCATTCTATTGGTGGAGCATCTTTCTAGGTTGTTTAATTGAGCAGGAACAATCATTCTAGTTCTACTTAAATCCCTATGTTCCAATGACCTAACTTACCTTGCCTTACGTAACTGACCTGACAGTCATTACATGTGCGTATAAGCCGAAAACGTTTGTCCTTGGGTAAGTTGATAGGTTAAAGTGCTGCCTAAATTCCAGCCTTATTACGAGGCCTACGCATGCCCTCTCATGTTCCTTCTTTATATAGCAGCACCACAGATGTCTTGAGTTCGTTGTCGTTTATATTGTTTTCTTTATTTTCATCACTAGTGCTATTTTTCTTATAGGTCTTTATATATTTTGAATAGATCCTGATTGGTACTTACCATAAATATTTTTCTTAATTAATTGATTTCACTATTTAAATCTTCCAGCTTACCAGTTAGGATTCGATTACATAAATATTTCACTAGATCTAAGTTAACTAATTTCTGGATGGGATAATTCAAAGTCTTATTACCTATCAGAAACTTACAGCTTTCTGTAGACGCTAGTATTTAACCCAGTATGCTGTTTTCATTCCATTTTTCCATCTAGTACAGCAAACTCACCTTGTTTATTCTGCAACACAATTGAATTTATGTGTAAACAACTTGAGGGTATTTTCATATTTCGACACTGTGAATGTTTCATCCTCATATCTCTAACATAACTTGGGAGCACCAATAAACCTTCCAAGAGCTTTACGTTCGTACCTATCCTTAAATATGTTCGCTGTAATGTTGCAGCGTGACTTAATGAATTGCTAGCATCTCTTTTACATATGTTGGAATTTTCAGTTTTTTTCAGAAAATCAAGTGTCATATGGGTTAATCTAATAACTTCCTATAAATTAAAATTGCATAATTGTTTATCAGGCATTTAACCTGTGCATACAACAATAAAGAAAGTGCGACGCTTCATTTTTATCATTTAAATGTATCCAGCATTATTAACGATTGGTTAGGTTAAGAAAAGTGAAAAGTATGGAGCATCTGACGAACGTATTCAAACCGGAACATAACTTTAGTGCAATGTCTTTAATCAGCTGATCATCAGACCAAACCTAAAATGATTAATAAGTCAAAGAGTAATTGATTTCACTTCATGGTAGGTATTTGAAAACTGGAGTACTCCTCTGTGTTATAAAAACAGCCAAGATTCAATTTATAAATTGACATATTAATATTCATAACTGTATCTACTCTATCATGTTTTATATTATTAATTTTAAAGGGCACTAACTGATGAAAACAATGTTACAGAAAGTCGCAATACTGATTATATACAAAGGACTAATAAACCATTGTGGAATAGTTTACTTAAATTTCCTGACAAATATCTTAGTGATCTGTCCAAATTTACAATGAAGTTAACTATTTGGAATCGATTCAACAGAACTGGCCCTCCAGAACTATTAGGATTTGTACAACTGTGCACGAAAGGTGAATTTTTCTGTAAATTAACCATGTAAAATATCACACCTGTATTGTTGAACATACTGATAATATACATTCTACTTCAGTTAGGTAAAACAGGAAGTAGATGCAATTCAACAGCTACGGAGGGAAAGATTGCCCCACCGATCCTATAACTATTAGATTTTGCAACTGTTATAATGTTAGGCGATGAGACAAGAATACTTCAAATTAACGTACGCCCTTGTAGTAGATGTTAGTCGATATTGTTCACTGACTAAAAGTTTGAAAAGTGTAATGAAATGTTGGGTTTCGAATAGCGTTGAGATATTTGTTGTCACACTTTTTTATATAGTGAACTTTATAGCCTGTATCTTGTTTACATCTATTTACCTGTCATCAGTACACACCGATAGTAAACCAACAAACTGAACTTTGTACCGAATGTCAATTTTCATCACGAGCTGACAGAGGTTGGAGAACGATTGGAAAACCAGCTAGGAGTAGTGGACAGTTGTTTCGTCCTAGTTTGTCACTCTTCATCGGTACGCATCCGCCGGGGTTCGTACCCAGGACCTTCTGGTTGCAAGGCAAGCTCGTAGACCATGAAGCCACTGACACCCGATCCAAAGGCCCATGAATTCTAACTTCTGCCAATTAACAACATAGTGCGACCGCTAGCCGATGTCTTTGATCAGTATTTGTCCTTACACCCGACCTACTGCACCCTACTAGTCACGACGCCTCACTTCACTTCTCTAGCCGCTGTCAGCTCATGATGAAATCCTGTAACGAACTAATCAAATAGCTACAAATCAATACTTGAATGTCATTTTTTCTCAACAGGTGGGTAATATGAGGCATTAACGTCTATAGAAATGAGTCTGTAAGAAGTGTAAAATGTTGGAAATATGGCATCAGTTTAAATTCCAAGCCATTTGTTTTGTTATGTTGATCGCAATCAGTCAATATGATCATGACTATATCTGTGCATTCTTTTGCTACTAATTTCAAAAATTATTATTCATCTTTTACACTTAAAGACTTTCCTTATTATAAATATTGTAGACGTATTAACCAAATTCACATACGATCATTTTAACTCACCCTCTGATTAACAGGAGCGGAATACAAGTTTGAAAACTCCACTGGTGGTGACACGGATTGTTATCAGCAGTGTTTAAGAAGACCGAACACAGCACTTTGGGATTCAGTTCAATCTAAACCGGGAACTTGGGTTCAAGAAACTTTAAACATACATCCTCCAAGTTTATGGTAATAAAAGCACAGACAGACCCTTTGAGAAAATTCTACAGGCTATTTTCTTCTTTTTATTTTTATGAGTGTATAACAAATTTTATTATATTGCTATCCAAAAAATAAAATAAACCATGAATTATTTTTTTCTCATGACATCAGTAGAATAAGGTATTTTGTGGAAATTTGTTTCATCAATGTGAACACTCAACTACACTCCTCCTTTAGTTTCAGTCACCAGCAAAGCGTAATTAAGATGTACAGGATGCTCAAACCCGTCTCATATGATGTCAAAGTTATTCGTTTGTCATAATATTAGTGGAACACTCCTGCAGTATACTACTAATATTATAGACAACACTAGTCGGAAGACAACCTAAAAACTGTAAATGTAATTCACTAATGAATGTCATTTCATTATTATTTCAATGTTTAAATCTAATTGGAAGGATTCCGTCCATATTTATTTTACTCCACAAAACCATACTGTTTATCTTCATGCAATGAATATCACCTTGTTTTGACAACCGGTTCGATATATACACTCAAACGGAATACGAAACATGTACACGATCACATAGCGTACTGACTAGAATTAGAAATAAGAAGTGAATAATTAATTTTAAAAGTCAATTCACAGCTCAGATATAAGCGAACTATGTAACTAAATTAAGAATATGACTACTTTTTCATGAACACCTATGATGTTCAAATTTTCAGTCATTTTTTTTAAGAAGCTCAGGCAAGACGGAGCAAGAAAATGTTGAAAATATTTATGGAAAACATGCTAAATTTTGTTTTTACTTGGAATCTAATATTCGTCAAATTTTCTGGTGAAATTTTGATGAAACCTGGTGGTGATAAGTAATGTTATAGGTTTTAATAATGATAATTGATCTTTATTTCAGGCATAATTAGAACATTTCACAGAAATTTTCTGCCTAAATAGTTCCGAAATATTTCCTCTTCAAGCAGGATTTACATTTAAAGTAATAATCTGAAGTATATTATGTGAAGTAGTTTTGTTGTATATGAAGAGAGGAACAATTCTGTATATTTTTTCTTTATTTCCTCCAGTAATTTCACAGCGTCTAATTTAAAGCTAATTAAATATGTGCGTCCGTTCATGTGGTGATCATTTTATATAACTGCATGGTTAAAATGATAAGAAATGTTGAAGAGTTTCAGCATTTTGGATGGATGAAAATTCTGATAGCCCAGTGACTTAAGCAGACCACTGTGACACGACTGAAACTATATTCTTGAGACAGTTATGGTTAGCTTTATAAAATTCAGCTTTTTCAGTTAAATTTAGAATCACAATCTGATGTTTCGTTTTTTCAAGAGAAAAGGACGAATTAATAGTATAAAAAAGATATCAGAGCAAAACAGTGTTTACTTTTAGTTTATTATTTTTATATTAAATATGGGCAAGCACAATTGCAGAGTAATTAGTGTAATGTATGAGTGAAACATTCATTTTTAAATAGAAGTAAGGTAAGAACAAATTGAACAGTTTGAATATGAAGCTATTATACAAATCATTTTCTTTTTGGAAATCGTGTCCAAAGCATTTTACAAGAATATAAGCTAGACACCATTCTAATGAAATAAACTCATGATAAAAGTAAACACTAGTTTACTCAAAGCTGCATGAGTGATCTTGAAACAGCATGATTCGTAAAACATGTATGAAACCACGGAGTGTTATGATAAGTGCAGTAATCGTATGACTGCAGAATCGAGATATTTTATTCTTTAATTAAAGAGACCTGTCGTTGTTTACGAATATGATTGTCTCAGTTTCAGTTGAATATATATATATATACGTAACAAGTAACAATAATAATAGCTTTATTCTGGTCAGTATTTACGCATTAATGTACAGAATTTTCAGTGAGATTTACTGCATGATATTTTATCTTCGTCTGTGATTTTCAGGTAAAATCTTAATCGACCGTGGATCTCGTGACACAGTGATATCTGATATGAAGTGCAAACCAATCCACTAAGACGTTTCTTTTTTGTCACCTTCGTGACACACACGGCATTTGGTTGAAAGCCTGGCATAAGACATTCAAGATTACATTTTGAGACCCAAGGGGAACACTTATCTCATGTACTGAAATATGTTGTCACTAACAATAATGCTTTTTCCCCTCCTGAGTCAGCAGGTTACAAACATATTAAATACTCACCAGAGTAAATAATACCATTAAAGCTTCTATTTTGATAGGTAGATAGAAACAAAGTGAACAAGAGGAATTATATGCAATCTAGTCATGACTTTTGGTAGACCAGGTTTTAAGCAGGAGTGGCATTTTAATCTAATTTCACTCGATTTCAACTTACCTTTTTCTGTAAACCCTATAAACATATAAACAAACATCACACTAAACGCACCCGTCAGGCTGAAGAATTAGTGGATGGAAATAAGACGCCAGAATAACTTCTCTTTCCGGAAGCTGTTGCTAGTTATTAATCTGAAACAGATGTTATCCACACAGGTGGAAAACTTCCACCACTTTGGTAAATGAGTCGCAGTTGTTGTAATGACCACATTCCAGGTACTGTGGTCTGAATGCAGGGAACCCATCTATGAATTCTTCTGTATAGCTGACCGAAATTCTGGGAGTAAATCACATTCCTAAAATATCCTGACAGTAGCAAAAACATAGCGACCAAGTTGAAGTATCATGATCTAAAAGTACGAATGCGCAAATGACTCTGGACTCATTCTAGTTGTGGCATTATATTATAGCGCTAATATGAACGCTACTCACAAATTAAGGTGCGAATTTTACCCCGATCACATTTTTAAGTAGTATCTAGATAATCGCTTGATAGCATGTAGCCGTAAATGTTTCTGTAGTGCTTCTGTGTACACCCAGTGGTGTTCCAGAGCAGGTGATGGACAAACATTCAGGTATGCACAATGTAGGAAACAAATGACTGCTCCTAATGGTAAGTTACACACTCACTTTATTGTTTCCTAAGAACTTTCTTTTTAAATAGAAACTGCAGCTGAAAAACATGTTCTTTATCTGCCATTATCGGATATTGAAGACTGGAGTAAGATTAACAGCTGTGAAGACAGAGAAATCCCTAATATCTACTGCGAAATGATGGAATCATTGCTGAAATGAAGCGTCATGGAAGATGAATACTGTCACGCAGCTTTCAGCAGGAGTTAATGTTATTGTTTACATTGATAAAACAGTTCCTATAAAGAAGAAATATGACCATGGTCACCCTAAAGCAAATTTAGGTATTAGGAATTGACGATACCGAAATTCAGAGAGGAATTGTCGTTGTAATTCCAGATTGTAGTGCCAATACTTTTCTACCAGCAGTCATTCCAGGCACTATTATCCATATTGATGAATGAACGTGACACAGTCGCCTATCAGATTTGGGTTTTAACCGTCACCTAGTGAATCATTTTGGTGGTTTCGTCTACCGCTTACTGAGACTCATATCAATTCAGTCGAAGGAGTGGATTGGAAAACAGAATAAGAGCAATAAATGGATGACAAAAGTAATTCATTTTCGGTTATCTTGATGAACACATGAATAGTAACTGGTTCAGCTTATAAACTGAGACTTCTCATTACAATTGCAACATACTCTTAAGTTATGTTAAAGAAAAATATTCTGTTTAATGTGTCTTCATGCATTTCTCTTGTAAATAGACGTCAGTTTTATGTAAAACCACTGGTGGTTTTGACTGGTCGGCTCAAGGTAACTTGTGCGTTTGCATTCTATTGATCTTGATAGTTTAAATTTGCCAACACATTTGGGTGCAATAAAATCTATGGCACTACTAAACAGTGGTAACATATCAAAACGCAAAATTGACTCAACTTTGCCGTTAGATAGCTATTTAGTTTGAGAATTCCTTAGATACAAAATGAGCACTGTACAACAATATTAGTTAACCCAAAAACAGCCGTAGTAGATACATGAGGACACCCAACAAGGTGGGACAAAATCTCTGTTAGCAGGACTGGAAAACACTGAACATGTATCCTCCTGAAGATTCAAGGTTATGTAGTCTCAGCCGATGAACCTTGTATTTATGCAAACAAAGTCGCAATCCTAGAACACTAAGTTATCCTCAACAGTCCACCATCACCAAATACTAAAGTGAAACATTAATGACAGGAATCAATCACAAACAAAGACAAAAAGATAATAAGGATTAAATCAAAAGGTAGACACGTAAGACAACAAAAGGAAGGTAATAATTACACAACTAGATGGAATATTCAAATTGGCAACTATATTGTATATCGACTGTTCAGGAGGGATTTCCTAGTTGAATATTTGAATGTGCGTATGTAGTTGTACACTGACATAATTCGGAATTTATTCAAGTAAACCTGAAATAGTAATAAACAAGATCAACAAATTTTCCTTACGCGTTTCTTCAGTGTTTGGTTCTTGAAAACTGTTTTTACCACGTATAGCCCGATCTCGGTTGAAACTGTTTTATTGTTATTAATTAGTTTTATGTGCTCTTCCCCGTAGTTCCTTATGTCTGGAACTAACTACCCTGAACTTTTAATGTATATTTTTCGTTATTTTGCTTTTACATGGATTTTTCTAATATTTAATATTTGTAATTCAATGTTTATAAGTTTGTCATGTTTTTATCTAGTAAATGAGAAGTTTTCAACTCACGTCTATTGTTATTTGATGTTACTAAAAGAAAGTGAGATGAAATGAATTTCCTCACTGAAACAAAGTACAACAGGTATCTCATTTACAGTATTTTGTATTTTTCAACCTATTAACAAATTTCAAGTTTAAATTCAATGAAATATGAATAGAATTTTGGTTAATCGATTTAAAACAAAAACACAATATCACTTGCCTCATCCATTTTTCTGCCTAAAATATGATCATCTAGGTAAATCCTGAAACAGCCTCGGTTCTTCCTGTATGTTAATAATTTCATGATTGAGGATTTGCCCAAACATTTAGATGAACTATAAGCCCCACAAAATATTAATAATTTCTTGAGCATAAAAACTGCATGCACTTGTTTTCAGTGAATGATTTCCCTGATTCGATTCATGTTTTCATTGCATTAACCAACAGTAGAATTCATCTCAAAAAATGGCTTCCTCCACTGTGCCTTTTGTAGCAGTCTGACAAAGTGAATAATATATCAAATAATCAAAGCAAAATTTTCTAGTGAGATCAATTTAAAGTGAAGCATCGGCAGTTGTATTATACATGAATAATTTTTCAGGCTAATTCACATCGTGATCATTGGAAAATTCTTTTTATTCATGAAATTGAATCATTCTATTTCTGCGTGACATTTATTCATTGTTTTTCGTTTAAATTTTAATTTATATTTTTCGGTTCATATTTTTTATATGTGGCTTTCTGCTAATTCTTTTGTTTTAGGCTAGCTTCATAAATTTTGTCACTGACTTATCACGTAATTTTTCATCTTTGTTTGTAGAATATGATGTCCACAAATGTCATAATCCCTATAGTCATGAATGCTATGCTGATATATACATATATTCACACGTGCGTATATATATAATATAGACGACAGTAACTCAAAATAAAGCGCAAAGTTCAGCCACCCCAAGTTTATTTCCTTGATTATCACAATATTATTTTCAGTGTAGAATGTTTTTAAATAATTTCATAAATTCTAAACCAATTAGTGCTATTTTTGATAAATTTATTTTGCTTTCTCCAACAGATTCTATAGATTTTAATATTTGTATATATTTATATACATATATGTATATATATATATATAATTCGGAAATTATTTTTGTCTGAATCATACCATCACGTTGAATATTTTTGCTTTGACCGGAAATTTATGCCTTATCATCAAAACAAAACAATAATTAACCTAACGGGTACAACAATAAATCAAAACAATGCACAAATGGCATAAAAATATCATGGTGTTCCTTATTTCGTCAGGATTCATTTCAAACATTTAATCCCATGTGAGGAAATAAGGATCGACTAGCCGAATAGCCAAAAATGCTAAATAGGCTCAAACAGCCAATCAGAACTGCTTATTCAAAAGAAACATTTCAATTAATAACGTATAAAAGTGAATTTTGAATAGAAATGATTACATATATACTTATTGGATTTAGAGGACATCCATACCAACTCATTTACATAATGTTCATAGAAATTTTACTTTTTTTCCAAATATTCACTATTATTAACCCGATGAACTTTGTCACTTCAGATGAAGACTTATTACCCAATATTTTATTGGACAGTCCCCACATTGAAAATGATATTCTGTTTAGTACATCTTTAATGAGCGAAGATGAATGGAAACACATTATAAGTATGGTCTTAAATTCGATCGAGAAAGCTATTAATTTCTTGTGGAAACACAGATATAAAGTCAATTTAGACGGCTACATTGGACCTAGAATGGTAGAAAGTGAGTTTTATTTTATGTGCACATTAAAGGCAAAATTTGTATGGTAAAATATAACTTCTTTTGAATAGAAATGTTTAAAACCCTTTAAAGTTGATCGCCATTTGAAGGTTCACTCATATTAATCGCCTAAGTGTATACTTTGCCTCGATTAACGATTTTTTTAATCAAAATATGCTTAACTCCATTCTGAATATTAAGTAAATCCAATTAGATAACATTCGTTAGCCTTTATCAATGTATTTTTTCTACTTTATCGAAACCTTATGATTTACGATGCTTTTAACCTTCATTCCACTGATCCATATCATATATTACCGTATATCTTGGAGAGATGATTCTATAGTCATAATTCAGTGGATTTACCATTTTATGCATGTCCAAACCAAGTTCACTTTTAACAGTTTGGAAAAATTTGGGCACTGGGTATATGATATTAGTTATAATAAAGGTTTCCTTGTATTTGCCAGTGAGTGAAAAACGAAACGATATTGTTTTTCCTGATGTTTCACTATTTAATGCTAATAACTTTTACGAGTTGATCACGGACTGATATCAGTTAGAGAACCATTAAAAACCAGGGGGTACTGGAGAGCTGTTTCATCCTAGTTTGAGAATCATCGGCAGTACGCACCCACTGGGATTCTCTTACTGATATCAGTCCGTGATCAACTCGTAAAACATAACTAATCCTTACAAACCAAACTATAGCTAATAGCTTTATTGAAGTGTTATTAAAACAGAATTTACGAAATCTCAGCTTATACATAACAACTTAATCATCGTTTCTCACCATGGGGGCATTTTCGCTATGTCAAGCTGGCCAATCAGTAAAGATAAAAAATTAGATGTAGATTGTTGGATTTGATAAGTGTATAAAATTATAAAAGCAGCGTGTGCTTACATAATAAAATTGCTTATCAGATTCGTGTTGATTTTATCATTTCATGAGGAACGAGGGGATGTTTTAACCTGGTCAGATTCTGTTTCAGTCTATCATTCCTATTCAGACAATTTGGATTCCATTTGATATAAAGTGTTTCTGATTTCTGAAATTTTTCTCGATTATTTCAATATTGTCAAAATCAATTTTGTGAACTGATTCTATAGCTCATGATTCTTCAAGCTTTTCTGGTTCAACTGGATTTCTCAGTGGTCGGATAGATGCTCCATGGTGTTCATTTCTTCTGATTTTGATTTCTTGCAATGTTTTTCCGATGTATGTGACGTCACTTTCAAAGCATTGTTTTCATAGACACAATAAGATAGAGAATATTTAGGGATTTGATCTTTTATATGCACAAGATTGCTTTGCAGTGTATCTCATGTTTTGAAGAAAACTCTGATGTTGAGCTTTTTGAGTACTCTTCTGATATCTTCTGACGTCTCTGAACTATATGGAATAGCAACTGTTGAGGCCCATGTCTCAAGAATACGTCTTCCACCATACTTAATGTCAGTGTTGATTTTGTTGATGAAGTTCTTTAGGTATTTATTTTGCTTGAGAGTGTCATTAATGTTTGATATTTCTTCCTCTTTTTCTTTCCCATTTGTGTGCTCGTCTAAGAAGACATGAAACAACTGATACCTTGGCGCGGAAGGGTGATCTAATGTCTAAATATTTGTTGGAGAGGGTTTTCTTGCTGAACACAAATATACTAAAATTTCTGTTTTCCCTCCTCCTAACTAGGCACTCTGGAAGTGGTAGTTTACCTATGTGTGATTCTACTTCCGAAGTAAACTGGATGCTGGGAGATAGATTGTTTAGTTTCTGTAAGAATGCACTTTGTAGATCTCATTTTAGCACTACAAAAGTATCATCAACGTATCTTAACCATATTTTAGGAGTGAGTATGACTGTCTTCGAATCTATTCATGAAAAGATCATCGACTATTGGGGAAACTGGTGGAACCATAGCAACACTATTAGTCTCTCTATGTAAATTACCTTTTGAATGTGAAATAATCACTTTCTAGGCAGAATTTTAAGCTCTTGATTATTTCACTGGTGTCCATTGTATACCTCTGCGATAGCTCTGTATCTGGTTCTAGTAGACTGTAAGTGATATCAAGACTTTCGGTAATAGGGATACTAGTATATAATGAGTTAATATCATAGCTTACTATAATGTCTTCTTTATCAATTTCTCGGTGTTCTTTTTGGGATTTGAAATCATACGAATGTTTTATAGCATTTTGGGTGTCCTTTTGCAGTGGTTTCAGTATCGAAAATAAGCATTTGGAGGGGTTGTATGTCGGTAAGTTGGTGAAATTCCCTGCTGGTATTGATGGGACTGTGGGTTTATGTATCTTCGGTTGACCGTAGAATCCTGAGGGTACAAAAGGCCTTGATTTTAGTTTAAACCAAGAAGAATATTCAGTTTCGGATTTTCGTTCTTGAAGGAGTCTGTTGGTATTTAGTTTCATTTTGTTGAATTCGGCAGATTTCTTCAATGAGTAAGTGTGGTCCACCAGATAGGTGTTAAATTGCCTTCTTTCCATAATCAATCCTGTTTTTCATCATCTTAGTGATGTTTCCCTTGTTGGCTATAGTTACATCGATGCTTTTGTCTTTTATCAAATTTCTTGAGGCCCTAATAATAATACTTTGATAAAGATATTAGCATTAAATAAGGAAACGTCAGTAAAAACAATATCGTTTTGTTTTTCATCCATTGGGAAATACAAAATAACCTTTATTATAATGTATATTTACTATTTGTTTTTGCTTGTTCAAAAGTGAATAAGTTCTAGGAATTCTCGGTATACAGAGATCAGATTAGTTTGAAAGCAAAATTCACTGTGGATTAGACAGCCAGATCACAAGAATAGCTTTAATTAATGAATGCAAAGGAAGACCACCAATCAGCTTACAAATTTTCTAGTTTTTCACACTTAAATTGTTTCTGTATGCAATTCAGGAACATCAAATAAAGTAAATATTTGAATCTTACAGTATTGAACTAAAGTATCAGTACAATTCTTGTGATCAATTATTACTATTCAGCAGGGCTATGGGAATAAAAGAAGAAGTGTACATAAATGCCTTTTTCTCTTAAGAATTTTCATTGATACCCATCCATAGTTTTATTTAGTCGCAAATCGGCAGCAGACCAGTGTAGCACGTTACTAAGATAGAAATAAACTGGAATACCACAATACGAGTTTTCAAGATTAATCAAATATTCATAGTTTCATCAGTGAGATAAGAGAATAGATTGCCATAGACGAAATGTGAAATTATTGTCTACGGACTACTAATTCTTAGAGATTCCCCAAATAACTTCACATTTTGCAGAAATTAAATAAGAATTAACTCTTTTTTGACATGAGCAGGAACAAAAATGAAATAAGAGCTGTTTACTGTGGTGAATTTTAAAACCAAGTGCAACCAAATATAAACACTATTATAGTGCGAAAAATGATTCATGTGCAAAATGACACTGTGATTTGAGATTCTGTATTCACATGTTCATTAACAACATATTGAAATTAGTTCGTCCGTAAATTTACTCTCTTTCTCAGATGACCTGATATGATTCCGATTTCACTGCATATATATATATATATATAGTAATAGCTCGTCATCAAAAATACCGTGTCTTGAGGATGAAATTCTGTATGAATTCGATACAATATGGACCTTTTGTTTCAGTATATGACGGAAAATTGTATAACTGTGTGAAGAAAGCTTCTTTGAGAAAACACATAGTTATGATAAGCTTTTATATGTTGCTTATGAGTAGCTGTTTCTTTTAACAGCTGTATAAGGAGTGCTACGATATTCTGATTTAAAATTTCCTGCTTACTAACTCTTAATATCTTACGTCTTATAACACAGTTACTAAAGATAATTAATACTCAGGATATTATCTTTTTTCTAATGATTGAGATGATTTAAATTTCCTACCTTTTTACCTACTCAGGATCACCCTGAGTCACTGTATACCGGTAGGGACTCTTACAGTCATTCAACTGAACTAGAAATTGATTCAGAAATGTTATAAAAAAACGTCGTTTGCTTTCACATCTTTAACTACAAACTGCTTTTCTAAATTACTTATGTAGAATAGGAAGCAGCATGACCATTCTTCCAAATGATACAAACATTTTATACTGAATAATCCAAAACAAAAACAGGATTTGCGGCCGAAAAGTCTCAGAATGATTTCACTGAAAGCTTACATAAAAACCAGCTATTAAGACAGATCGGTGTGCCTGAGATTGTTCCAAAATTAACTTTGGTTAAAACAGACTTTGATGATGTGTCATTTTATTTTCAATGACTCAAAATTCATCTAAACTGATCTTTATGTTTTTCCCTAAGTTTTCTTCATGATAACTTGCCTAAATATCAGCCACACGATTCAGCCTCTCTGAAAATTCCAGGCTGTATCAAAAATATTATTTAAAATAATCCATTATTATTCCGTTTACCAGAAATGAGGATTTCCCACAGGCAATCTGTTGCCGATAGTTAAAATTCATACCACATTCACTTTTGATATATTTTTTATAAATTTTGAATTCTGATATATTTAGCCATAAATATGATAAAGGTCACAACACTTATGCCCTACAAATTTCGAAAATTCTATTATATAATAAATTAACTGTGCAACCTCTTTGAGGGAAAAGAAAACTTCAAGAAGTTTTCAAATCACCTGGGAATAAGTTATGCTTCAATTTAGGAGTTTCTGATGATGTGATTAACTCTTTATGTGGTGGCCAAAAGGAAGTGCTCATGTAAAAAGATACCACTGAATACTATACAGTGTCTCGCGCTCATAGGAGATTTTAAATCGTGGAAAATACCCATCGGGACATTAGAGGGAAAAGAACAAGAAGTTAAGTAAAGATATCTTTTCGGCTATTTCATTCTCAAAAGCTGTATAATCGCATTTGTATACATTAGTTTACATGGATACAATTATTATTTATTTAATTCCACATAGTAACGAAGGAGATAAGGAATTTCAACTTACAATGTTAGTTAGTAGGTGTGAATATAGATTACAAGAGGCATGGCAACGAAAAATTACTCAGGATTAGAATATAATTGTAAAATAGATATTCGAAACGGATTACAAGTGTGATCAGGAGGAGCATGGAAACAAACTTAAAATCACTGATTTTATAACTGAAAAAATGGGATGAATTGAATGAAGAAAGAGAGAAAAAAGACAAAAAAACTGAATGATAAGGGAACATACTGAACCAGGTCCACGGTAGTTGTAAAGGCTGGACTACTTTCTTCTCAACACACAGCTCCGGCTTTCCGATGCATATAGCAAGAGCTTCTGCAGTTCAAAGAAGTCAGAAACACACTGCCTTTCGTAGATTTTTGTTTACTTTGTAAATGACTCCGAATGATGAGTCAGTTGAGATGCTGTGACAGGTATTGACGAGGTGTTCAGTTATGGCGCTCCTGACTGAACCAGTGCCTCCTCTTTGCATCCATGCTGGATGATGTTCTCTAACACGTTTTGATAAGACCCGCAAGGAACAACCTATGTACCTAGTTCCGTACAAGCAGGCGAACTGATACATGCACACTGAAGTGGTCATATGCGGAAGTCTGTCCTTTCCATTGCTCCGAAGTAGCGGGATGGTAAAGAATATCACTCTTAGAGTTGCTGCAGGAAAAGTCTTCTTCAGGGAATTGGAGATTCTCCTTTTAAGGACATCTGCTGCTAGGTCTCCCTTAAATTCCATATTCAAATAAAGTGTTTTCTTTGGCACTGAAGTTCATTCTTCTCTTTTTGGCTATGGTTCTATGTTCTCCCCCACGAAACGCGCTGGGTATCCATTTTAAACCAGGATGCTTTTGAGAAACAGGAGCTCTTCTTCTAAACAGTCATCGAATGCATCCTTTGCAAATCGCAAAAGCCAATTAAGGAACTCCCTATGGTTGCCGCTTTGAAACCCATAATATTTAGATCACGCCATGTAGTCCACTCGATGGTATAAATAGGAATAAATAAGTTGAGCCAATTGCACCACGATTTATACAACTGACTGACAGGATTTTTAAAAACTGCTCACATCAAAGATTTTCATAACATACATTATAAATTTAGAAAACTGTCTAAGATATATTTTAAGGAAAAGAAAACAGTTAGATTAAGTTCACCGTATCATACCACCTCGTCTGGTCGAACTCCAACAAAAAATATTTTGCACGTGTGATTTAAATCAATCTTTCAGTGTTCTATCTACCATACCTATGTCCAGCAACACCCAACTTAGAGACACTCTAGTTATATGGTTTTACAAACACATCACAAGGATAATAACTCACACATTTACCTCCAGCATATTAGTTAACTTATTACTAATCCGTTATGTCCACAGTTCCACTTGCATTACCGCTACTCTCTGTTCTCTGCAGTCTTTTCAAGCTTGCTCCACGATCGTCCATACGCTTTGATCTCCTTCACAGATAGTCACCTAGATTGATTTCTAGTACCCGCATCACGATCTCCTCCACGTCATCCTCGGACACCTGACTCATCGTTTCCCACTCAGGTTCCACCCAAGGGAATGAAGACCCATCTCACTCAACTGTCACCTCAGCGCATCTCCGACTCATCTCCATTCACGCCTGCAGATTTCTCAGACAGTACGCCATTAGCTCGTCCCCTGCCTCTCACAGTTCATCGCTACTAATTCATTCCGGCTGACCGACCAACTAATCGCCAGTAGCAACCCAGGGAAGGCTGCTGTTGGTGGGAGTCTGCAGCCTCTTGCAGATGCTATCCTTGGTGGACGCGCCGAGTATCTCAACCATATAGATGCATCGAATCGACATTCGACTTGCGAATTCCGATTGTATTGTATGTGTGGGTGTTGGGTAATTTTAACCTCCACGATGATTTCAAAATAATGAATGCCTATCTTGCTTTTCTAATCCTCAATTTGATATCCTAACCTAAGCCTGTTGTAGTTGAGACGATGCGTCTCGTGTAAGTTTAAGAAGCCACCTGTTTGAGACTTTACCTGGTGGTCTTGAATGTTGTTTGTTGGTGTTGTTTAAAATCTTCGCTACCTCTGTCTTCTCCATGTTCACCTGACGTCTCATCTTTTTTGCCATATTCTTCTGACAACTTGTTGATTTCCTCATACAGACCTATGAGTTTGTGTGATATTCAACAGAAATCGTCCTCTAAGTTCAAGTTTTCTAAAATCTTCTTTTTGGTTCAAAGTATTCCTTTCTTTTCGCTCCTCACAGTGTACCATTTGAACCAGTCTACCAAAATCAGGAATACCGATGGTGATATTAGTCAGCCTTGTCTGATTTTTTTCACAACTTAAAATGCTTCACTAAGCTTCTCGTTTTCAATTACTTGGTTGTGGTATTATCAAATAACTGTTGAATTTGAATTTTTAAAGGTTAGAGGTATTGCACTCCGTAGTGTTAGAGCAGTTTCTAAACCATTTCACGGTCAATACTCTTAAATTCAACCACCCGAAAATTATGCAGACAAGAAGTTTAATATAAAGACAACTATCACATGTAATGCTTTCTCTTTTATATTCATCCAAAATAAAATGCATCATTTCCATCATTCAGGGTAAAAATTATTGGATAGTGTGATCATAGATGCCCTATTCCGATTACAGCCTTCATATCAAATGGTCTTATCTGTAGGTAAGTTTATTAGCTTAAACTGTATCATAATTGCAGTCTTGTTATGGGTGATATCATAATATTCCCATGACGTTTCGTTTGTGTATAATAATACTCGGAGTACTAAATTATTTTCACTATTGTACTTCAATGGTATTTGATGGAAATTACGTGTGTAAAATTCACAATGATGTAAACGGTGCATCAAAACAGTATAGTCATCAGTAGGTAGAATTTTTTTGTAGTGGTTCTACACCTACAGAACTGAAGTAAATATGATAATCGTACTGGTCCTAGAATAGTAACATCGAGTTTCCCAACTCACTTTAGATTATAACGGTTGAACAACAAAAAGTATAGTCCAGATAGAGAATATTATGAAATTCGGAAAAAATAAATCTTCGATTAGATTATATCCTGCTAAACAATGGACACAAAGAACTTCAGCCCAAACTACAGCTAGCAATTAAAAACTGCTTACAGAAATAAGTTGGGGTGTCATATTGTTTTGCATACATCTGAACTCCAGGATTTGAAATGTTACAGATTAGTCGGTAACATTTGCTGTAGTTTACCCATATACTTTATAAAACCACTACTCATCTAAGCCTAATTTCGTACTGAATAAAGGCTGGATAATAAAACGCGAACAAAAGAAAGATATAATCCTCAGGAAATTTCTTATAAAAGAATGGTGACGTATAACTAAAATTAACAAATATGCCAATTTTTCATTTTAATATACTAATCGCAGAAGCAGTTAGCCTTTACATATGCTTACAAATAGACTACAATTAAGTGCATAGTGTATAACTGTGGTCATCTTGCTAAAACAGTGGTCAAGACGACTTCTTAAATAAAGTTGAAATATTCTGTTTTAAGAAATGTACACAAAAATGCACTTCTATATGCATTTTTCATTTCTTCAGTTCGAATAAGCATTTGGACTTGCTTAACCTCTTTTTTAGATTAACTGTATTGACTTCACAAATTTTTGAATACTCCATCTCCAAAAATATTGGCGTTTTGTCTTATAATGATATTTGACATAAGAATGAATCAGCTCTTGTTAACCTATTTCAGATGATTTCCTAATTCATATCCGATTATGTTGAAAGTGTCTCTCTAATTACTTGTATCTCAGCAAGTACAAGATCAGTGTAACCTAGTTTAAAATCAAATGATATACAAATGTAACTACTGTATTACCGGCGTATAAAATGTTCTCGTTTTACGTTTTTTTAAAAGGGGTCATTCAGGCATTATTGAAGCTGTATGAAGAGAAAATACCAAACAGTGTTGTTGTACGAATGCAAATTATTTTGAGAAATATACAAACGTTGTGTGACTTTGGTTTAAATAATGTGCCAAAAGAAACTCCATTTTATTTTTCAAGTAAGTTTTAATTCTACACTATTTATTTTATACAATTACTTGTTGATAAGTTTTATCTGCTAATACACGTTTAAACGAGTGGTCCGGGAGTATAACTGTTAACCCAGCTGTTGACCAATGCAGCTTAAAAGAATCAGCGTAAGATCCTTGTGGGTAGATAAGACCATAATAATGAGGCGCAAGAATCCTCTTAGTCATTACGTTCAGACGTAATAAAAACATCAGTACCGCTTCATGCGTCTTATTAAATCAAGGCAGCCACCCAGTGAATAATTCTATTTTTATTTATTAATTGCATATATCACACAATGAAGCAGTATTGCTGGGTCTTCTTGTTTGAAAACCTACCGACAAACTCATACAGCTTTTGCAAACTGAAGAAAAACTTGAAAGTAACCAGATTTTCAATATTCCATGTCTCAGGAATGAAGTTATTCCTAAATATCTGAGTCTATATGCTCCAATTTCGATTAAGAAAGTGAGAGCAGAAATAGAAAAACTAGAAGAAATATGTCTAGAAGAAGGGAATCTCAGAATCGTACAGTAGTTACGCACTATCCGAAGTGGAACTAAAAAGCCGAAACAAAAATTAATGGAGACAGTCAACAGTGAGGAGTATGAACTCATATTAAAATTTTCTAATCATGCCAAACTGGCGGCATTCAAGAAATCCGAAAAATACTCACATCAAGAAATTCATCAAATTATTGAAAGCGACTCACTATCACAGAACAGTATCCAGTAAATGATACTGATTCACTGTGTGACATATCTAGTAAACAGATTAATGTGGATTTAAATGCTGCTAAAGTTCTCAGGTCTTGCATATATACCTGGTCAATCATTTTCCACTATTACTACCTCTAAAGTCGGACTGAGCCCATCACTAATAGATAATAGCATTTTAGGCCAGGCGAGAAACGTATATTCAGGGTTAATTGCTTTAAATTTGCAAGTTTTTAAAAAGTTGTTGATTCTACCAAAACAACTGCTGGTATGTTTTTTCTTAATTAGTAAAACACACACTTCAAATACAATAAACTCATTTCAATAGAGGGTCTTGTTAACTATGGATAAAGACGAATAAAGTGTTATTCTGATGTCAAGGTGAATGTTTGTGGAAAGCGGATAAGTACACAATGAATATAAGCAGTTCCCGTTACTTTCTTTTAAGGAGAAAGAAGTTTAAATATAACATTCATCCTACTGTACATCAAAATAATTTATGAAATAGGTATAAATCTGAGTCGTAGGCGAACTTTAACCAGAAATCTTCAAAATGCCAGCTTTATTTTCTAATAACGCGGTTACCTAGTGCATTGAGTTCTCTTGATAATGACTATAACTTCAAAATTTATTCTTTTCCATTGAGCTGTCACTTTGCTCTGCATAAATTCTTCGCAACCAGGCATACTGCCTAATGAAGATTAGGCGTGGTGATAACTAATTTTCAAAAGACTCCACTTACTATTGGATGATTTGTTCTCAGACTTTATTCTGAAAGGCTTGTGCGTATTTATTGATTGAGACCTACCAAGTTAACAAAAAAAGCAAGAGAGAAGAACAAGATGAAAATACAAGTAAATTGCACTTGTATTCAGAACTACAAGTTGACAACGGTAGATGATCTTCGTAAATGGTAGTGGTCACCATGATGTGCGTTCATCTTAGTCATTTTTAATCAATAGAACGTTTCGAAGTTGTTGTAAGCGATGTTTTCTCTAGTGCTACTCCAAAAAACATCCCATGTCTTGGAAAGTGAAGATTTATCCACTTAACTGATGAGCGACTGGTATCGCCTTCTGTACAGCAGGTATAAGGTGATAGTTTATTAACAATTTCCCGTTTTTTACTGTACTTCATTGAATTGATCCAGTTTTATTGTAGAATGGGCTCGAAGAAAAGAAGTTTGATTTTACCCAGTAAAGAAACCTTAACTCAAGCCTTATTGACCGAAATGAATATCTAAACTGTATGTAATGTGTATAAAATAAATGTTTGAAATGCAATACAGTCGTACACTAAAATACATTTATCAATCATTTTTCAAGAGGAAGAAGAATTAAAATAGACATCCTTCCTAGTGTGAATTATTTTATATCTCCTATGACCAAAATCTGAAAAACATTTTTCAGGAAAATGTCATGTGAATTTCAGATAGGTGTACTACTACACTGTAATGCCCATTTTTGATAGTGTCATCGTCTCGCCGAAGATGACCTGTCTATTTAACTAACGTCAATATATATTACATTTATTTTGGGATGTTAACTTTCAGGAAGGCAAAACAAACAATTCTTTTTCAAAACATTTCTATTTATCTGATACCTGTCAAAAAATATATTGATGCTTGCTCATACAGATTGACCTAAGAGGATGAATCACGCCATCGTACTGATACATTCTGTCTATATAAGCAATTTGTCAAATACGGTTGTGTTTGTGTCACAATATTTTTCATCTGTGTTGCGCCAGATAAATATAAGACTACCTTATAATAATAGTGCTTATTATCAAAACTCTAATCGAAAAAAACAAAAACCAACTATGTGTTTTCTATATCGCAATAAATAAATAAACGAAATTAAATAAAACTTCAGCAGAATAAAAATAGTTACAGAAGTGTTTATCTGATTCTTCTATGAATTCGGTAATGGCCACCCAACATTAACAGCAACGTACGCTCTTTTTCCGTCTACTTACTGGCCATATTTGAATTAGTCATTTGGAAAAAAGTATTTATTTTGCATATTCAGCAGTAGGTTAATTGTAGGTGAATTTCAAGTTTAATCACAAAGTGACTTCAATTAGAGAACCACTGAAAACCGGAGAAGACTGGATAAATTTTTCGTCCTGCTTCGAGACTCTTCATCAGTATGTAGGCCACCACCCACACACCAGAATTCGTTGGTTAAACGACAAAAGAAAAGCCAATAGTTCGTACTATTTCTTCGTTCTTCGTGACTGCTTTTGCAGTTGTAGATATTATCTGCCACTGAATTGATGAACTAAAGAACTGTTTGTTGGCATCATGTTTACGTTACTTGTATGTAAATGATCAGGTATGCAGAATGTGAATTCACTATGTACAACATTTTTCAAGTTTCGCATTTCACTGAGTCGAAGCGCTTTAGATCTCACGAATTGTGAGGCGAATAATTTTCATGAGCCTATTACATTGACTGAAATAACAAATGCACGCGATATCTTTTAAAAACTTTCTTTGTGTTTAATAATCTGATATGAATATTTCTCAAAAGATTCACTAGTGTGCGTGATACCTTATTCTAAGATGTAATTAGACTACATCATATCACCAAGCTTGTAGGCATAATATAGTGAGGATACAGGATAAAAAAAACATCGAATAAGGAAAATGTGGCTGATACGCCTTACCACACATTAGACTTATATCATGTGGTATTACTAGAGAAACGGCTGAAAATGCTAAAATGTATCCGGAAGTCTATGAAACAGGTAATTATTATTTTCTGTCTTCCAGTTTTTAAAAATAAAACATATAATTATTTCCATGAACTGATACATCTATTTTCTCTTTTTTACTTGTGTCTTTAAAACTACTTTACTTTTAGCTTTTACTCGAATTATCCTGAAATATATTTCGCGTTTGGTGTTTTCACTTGCTTTAGTTATAATTTTAATATTAAAGCAGTGGCTTACTCGTTATTCATAATTCATTTAGTCACCAAAATTGTAGTCTAAAGTCTAGAGTATACTTCGGACTGATTAGACTACGCAGAATTAACATGGCGTATGGATTAAAATTGTAGCTTCAATTAGGTATATGAGCATAAATTATTTCTTCGAAAGCGGAGAAATCTCTATGCAGTCTGTATATATATATATATATATATATTCATGGATAATACCCATCCAGATATTGATGAAAACAAAACACGTAGTTCAGCGAAGTGTCTCTTTTCGGCGAATTAATTTTCTTAGCTGTACAATAGCAAATATAAATAAGATATTCTGTATGTATGAGTACATTACGTTTGCCAAACAAAAGTACAATTGGTTATGGTTATTTTAACGAGACAGGGAAAAATTAGTAATTGGAGTTACGTAATACAAAATCGGTCAAGAAAATTGAGTGTTAACGAAATTATGGCAGTAACAAAGGTGATGAGTTGTCACAAACAGTTAAAAAGAAGTTATGTAAAAATATGAATAGTTTGATGACTGAGTTTTACTCTGGATACACATAAGAACAAAGTAGAGAGTACGAAATTACCTAAGAGTTCTAAATGAATACAAGAATTATAAGCAATTAAAGAAACAGGCAAAAAAAACAAAATTAAGTCATCAAAAATCAACATAGTTGTTACCATGATGTTAGAAGTGGTTGAGTAATTCTCTTATATATTTATATATATATATATTCTTTTCTAATAACATTTATTTCTGATCACTCAATAGTCATGAATTTATGTAAGGATTAGGAGAACTGTGTGAAATCAGTAAGTGACTATTGGTGAATTACTTTGCAATAGTCCTGACGTCATCTGACAATGGATTTGTAACGTTACAAATAAAATGTATGGTTATACCTTGAAGTAATCACTCATGTAAATTGTTTTCAAAAATTTACCATTGCAAAGATCTTGAAAAGAAGTAACTTGAAAATTACTGCTTGTTAAAGAAAATTGTGGAAATTTTTACTACATTTGAAAACCACTCATGACTTTAAGTGATATGAGACAGTCATGTACATGTTGCCACGTTATTTGAAGATATGGTGTTCATTTCTGGATCCTCACTAAATTTTATTTACGAATAATTTTAATATGTAAACATAGTCCTGAGTACCTCATTACTTCGTAGAGCTTTTTTTTGATACTCAGGGGGGAGCGATTTACTGAAGGCAAACTGTAGACTGAAAACAGTTGCCAAAATTATTTGAATTAACTTCAGTGCGAACGTGAACCTCGTATTCTGACATAGCTGATACTTACATCACTTAGTGTACAGTGTGGGTT